ATCATTTTGCACGAGTCTAAATCAAATAAACTCGTCCAACTTCCGGCCAGGAAAATTGAATTATAGATATAGGGTAGAGTTCATAGCTGTACATTAAGAAGTTAACATGATCTTTAACATTTAAGATTCATATCTGCTCGACTCGTAGTACTAGTATAAAGTAAATCCTTGCACTTTTGATTTAAATTTACAAGTCAATAGACATTTTTTCCTCGCGCCGGACAATCAATCAAATTTAAATTGAATCACAGTGCTGGCAAGCACGACCGCCGCCCTTATATCACAGTGCTGGCAAGCATGATCATCAACATTACACTCATCATACTATAATTACCCCCTTTACTGTTTTCAGGCATTAAGACTCACCGAAAGTAATTCAGCAGGTATAAAATTTGCGCGAAAAAAGCACGCGCGGCGAACAAGCGCCGTGTAGCATTTTTATCTTATTCACATTTTTAAACAACTTTTGGTACCATACCAAATTTATCGATCAAATCGGCATTTACAATCTAAGATCACAATCAATTGACGATGTCAATCCTTCATATTCACGGCTCTAGCTCGAATAGTTGTAGCCGTAGTATATGGTATTGGCCATTGTTAATGGTTTGGACCGGCAGGCGCTACTTTGTACATTGTAGCACTAGCTGTGATCCATGATCGGGTAATATTTTGAGAAAAAAGCGGCGCGCGCTACTTCGAAGAAATTTAGACGAGTAACATCCGTCAATATATATAGGGTATTAAATTATTAAATTTAAAACGTGCACCGACGCGAGTTGGACTTGTTGAAAATACTTATTCATAATTAAATTGGACATGGAACAACAATTGACAAACATTTTACGTTTTTCTTAAAGTGGAAGTGGAAAAATGTCCAAAGTGCAAATTTATTATTATTTACCAAAATGCTAGTAGTAGTATCATGAAGATTGTATTGTCATTTTATAATAGTCCCGGTAAAATATATAGTTGTCCATTTGCATGGGATTGATAATGGACTAGCCTGGCGCGCGTTATACTTTGTAGCACTTGCCTCGAGAAGAAAGCGTTGTAAGATTATAATTGACGGATGTTACTCGTATAAATTTCTTCGAAGTAGCGCGCGCTGCTTTCTTTTCGAAATGGCCCGGCAAGTGCTACTAAGTAGCGCGCGCCGGGCCAGATCATTAACAATGGTTAAAATTGTAACCTACCAAGACGCACGCCAAGTTGGACTCGTTGAAACAAATATTTTACGATCATCGAGTATCGCCGGCCCGTTAAAGAAAGCGGCGCACGCCGCTACTTCGAAGAAATTTAGACGAGTATAAAGTATATAATACCAATAATAGTTACGATAACAGATGTGTTTGTACTTGTCAGTTATTTATATTTATTACTTAATTTAAAAACCAAATAAAACTACAGTCGAATTTATAAAAATGTGGTTTTTAAAGAAATACATTATATTACCTTACCTGGGGACCTCAGGCTATTATGTTCACAATAGAGATTAGGCGGAATGACAGGCTGAGCGCGGCCCAGTAATATATTACCTTGTCATACGTTGTATGACCCACCGGGCACGAGTGCGCGGGCCGGCTCCCCCTGTATCGTAGAAACTCTACACTATAGTGAAGCGCTGTATTACCCCAATTACCCCAATTAGAAGACCGTTTGTATAACATCATAACCACCATTCATCATTGACAATAGTTTGTATGTTTTTGGAAGCTAAGAGCAGCCGTACTTATCTATAATTGTAAATTTAATTTTTTTACACTTCCTCAGCGAGAGTGTTATAATTAGTTGGTAGTGAAAATCCAGAATTTCTGTAAAACAAGTCAGAAAATTGAAATATCTATACACAATGTCAATTTTGCACTTTGCCCCACGTCGCCATCTGTGGCGCAGAGGAGCGCGTGTGCGCGGCCCACACAGCGAGACAAGTAAAATTAGTAACTGTCACAATGCACAAGCAGTGCTCCAAAACTACATTAACTTTGCTTAAGTGTTTGAAAAAGTTTAGTTGCGTAAGTCCGTATACAATTATCAATTACAACAGTTTCTGTGACTTTATTTTACCCTCCTTTGTGCCAATTCTGTTGTTAATACGTCCACCATTTGGTCCGCTTTATAAATGCTACTATCCAATTTCTAACGATAAATCATTGTGAACATGTCCATGACGATTATTATGCAGCCGGCGCGGCACAAGTAAGATTTTCATTATTGAATAATGATTCATCCTACTCAGCCGATTAGCATGAAAAATTTTAATTAAGTGGGGCGGACATAAACGCACGCGCTACAAATTTACTTAGTATAAAACCAAGTTCAATTTGTTTAAAATTGAAAAAAATCTAATACACAATGCCTCGTAAAATTTTGTATCACGTGGTGACCCCCACGGTCGCTTCACTACTTCGACGCTAGAGGGGGAGCCGCGCACTTCGTGCGCGGCGGGTCATACAACGTATGACAAGTAAAATTTTAGTAAGTTCATGCATGCAGCAAGCAAGTGTCCCAAAACATAAATTTTACTTTGCTTCAATTGTTTTGAAAAAGGTTTAGTTGCTAAGTCCCTCATAAAATTTCAATTTTACAACTTTCCTTGTGAACTTTTTTACCACAATCCGTTTGTGCACAATCTTTTGGTAATACGTCTTTCACCCCTGGTGGTATGGGGTCCGCTCCCACTATATAAATCGCTCTACCAAATTTCAAGAAAATTCTTGTGAAAAGGCCCTGAGCTTGAGGGTTTAAAAGCAGTCTAATCAGATGTATTTTTGGACGCTGATTCCGAATCATCCCTCATGACGTACGGTAAAAATGCTTCCCTGGAGAGTTATGGGCAAAAAACTATTTTGGTCACATAAAAGGCTAGTAAAACACGAATTCGATTGTTCAGGGCTCAGGTTAGGGTTGGGCGAGTTGTGGTTAGGGTTGTGGATCTACTTCTAGCTTCAGGTTATGGTTAGTGTTAGAGTTGGGATTAGGGTTTATGTTCGGCTGCAAAACCATAAAAACCAAAGTCACGTGATAATGTTTAGGTGAGCGAATTAGTTAGAGCCCCTGGGGGAAATACACAAAAAACTCTCTCAATTTGGTCGAAGCAGGATGGTTTTTACAGTCATCCGTGTCAGTTGTCACCGATCTGTAATCGGTTATATGATAATCTTACTATATAAAGCGAGACTCCCAAAATTTGTGTGTAATTATTTTTTTAACAAAGTAGGAGTAGTGAATTCTAGGCCACCAAGAAAACAACAATTCAAGAAAACAACAATTTTATTTAGTATCAATTGAAGCAGATAAAAATGTATTTTATATACAGGGTGGGCCAAAAGTCAGTGTGCAAACGTTGGGTCTTATACCTCCGCCGTGTTTTATATTTGAGGGTTGTTGCTTTGCAGATGGTTTACTGTACCTACTGGTTCGAGGATTCCGTCACCAAAATTTGAAAATTCGAATATTTTAGACCACGCCCATTCAATATTAAAACACTTATATTGTTCTCCCCGAACATGCTAGATGTCTAATTTTTTCAGAGACAGTAGATTATTAAATGTTGCATATGATCTGAAAATATGAGGCAAAACGGATTAGAAATGACGAAGTTATCAAGCATTTTCTGTATCTCGTTAACAAAATTGACTGGGTGATTATGTGACACCGCGACACGACACCTTAATTGGGCAGCCTTCACGATTCCCATAATGTTTAACGGGGTGGTTAACGGGGTCACCTAATCACGTGATTAGGTAAACCAATCACCTGATCACACGTAATGAATAACCTCGTTAAGGTTCATATCTCGGTCATCTGAGAAGCTAGAACTCTCATTTTTTCAGGGCAAACGTAATTTAGATGGCCAAACACAATTCAATAAAATTTGGCTCGATCCGACTATCCAAACTATCAAATAAATGCGAAAATGAACCTTCTTTTGAAAAAAATGAACACAAATATGTTTCGATTTGACAAATTTCTCGAACCAGTGGTGGTAGTAAGTCATACCAGAACAAATTATTTCTATTGGGCACTCAGTGACTGAGCTATTATGGCCAACGTTTGCACACTGACTTTTGGCCCACCCTGTATATAATATAACTAGTACAAACTTTAGACCGTATATCTTAGGGGACTTGGAGTAGCAAGAGAGAGTATAGTATATAAACCTTTAACAAAAATATGTCAAAATGAATCCATCGTGATACAGGATCGGAGAGTGCAGACCAAAAAGTCTATGCACCCACCTGCACCCTTGCCTCCTGAATTCTTGGTTGGATAGACATTTATGCAAACTTGGTCGTTTACACACTGATATAATCCCAATCAATTTAAATGCTCATGAATTTTGATGGGCATGAACAAGTTAGATACAAGTTAAAATCTAGCTTTTGCTCAACACAAAAAGCAGATGCTTTACATCTGCAATAACCACAAATAGATGAGTCATACCCAAGTTCCTACCAACTGCCGCCCCCCTAGCCCCCCCCCCCCCTGTCTACGTGCCCGTTAGCCACCCACTCGGACCACCTCATTAAATTGAGAAAATTTATTGTTATCGAACTTAAGGCTGATTTTATAAACAGTACTAGTATGAAAACATGTTAAATTCATCTTTTTAAAATCGGTAAACTGGGTCAATTGTTCCACCACCATGGAAGGCAACGTTATATTTATCAGCTTGGTTATGATGTGACAGTTCTTTGTACTGTAGTTGTTTGAGATCTAGGTTTCATGAGACTTATTGATAATAAGTTATTTGGACAAAAGCTTTGATGTATTTTTGGTTTAGAAACGTTCCCTTTTCTTGTTTGATCTTAACAATATTACTGCATATTTCAATAACAGTAGAAGAGGTATTAAAATTATACAATTTCTTAATGGGGCAAGTGTTATATAAAGGGTTTCCTTGATGATTAAAATGGGCAGTCTAAAATAGCCACCTTCTGGCTAGCCTAATACGCAATATGTATTTGAACAATTGCTTTTATGCTCATTTTATAATTTCAGTTTATTAGTATTTCAACATGGATTATTCATGACAAAGACACCAGACAATCTCCTCTAAAAAAGCCAGCATCATGACAAACAGATTTTTTCAACAGCTGAAAGTTCTACTTTGGAAAAACTATAAACTGAAAACTCGCAGACCTGTCAGTAAATGATTTAAATTAAACCTCTTTTAGTGTTTCAATACGGTTTTTATGCTTTTAGCTGATAATTGGCTGCATTCATTGGGAGGAAATAAACTGAAAACATGTCACAATTTTGAGAATTTGGTTATCGAGATATTATTAAAATCAGTATCAATGTCTGTTAAAAATCTATATTTTCAGGTTTTATTTGTCATAGAAATTTTTATTCCAATTGTGCTATGCTTCATTCTTGGGCAAGTAAGAAGAACGAAACCACCATCAGTGATGACTTCAAGTGAGCAGTTTTTTGAATGGTGCCTAAAGTTTATCAACCATAAGAATAAAAATGACAAAAAATCTAAGCACGCCACTCCATCTTTTTATCTATTGTCACCATAAAGTGAGAACGTTTTGAGTTAGGAACTCCAAAATTTCCAGACGCATTTGTTTTGATAATTGAAGTGCTGTCCTAAAGTTTCAAGTTTACTGTTTACAACTAAGCCGAGTTGTGACCTTTTTAAGATCTTGTGGATACGTGATCTCAGCACTTAATTAGTGATTTCGTCACCCAATCAATGGCCTCATTGGTTGGAACCTGCTCATAGGACAACAACCGAAGCACTATAAATTAGTTAAATATAAACAAATAAATATTTAACAAACTTGAACGTGAAAAGTCTAACATTTTCCTATTTAACAGCATTATTCCTCATTATAATGTTCAACTATAATTTCAGGTTATCATTATGCTACTGGAATGCCGTCAGCTGGTCTGATTCCTTTCATACAAGGACTACCTGTAGTTGGATGTTGGGACTACGAGCATTTCAATGTCGAATATTATCCTTTTCCAAAATGGTTTGTTTAAACAAATTCAGTTGAATTCAGTTGAAAAATTCAGTTGAATTAAAATTAGAGTTAGATTCAAATTTACACAGTTGGAAACAGTACAACTACATGCATCTTGCTATTAAAGTAAGTTTCACCTCACAGGAAAGCTACCAAAACATATTATATGATCATGACATATTGACATTACCAAAGTTTCACAATTACACTACCTTTATTTTGATCATTTTGATAAAAATGCTTGCATCTTTAATGTTATGAATTTCAGGTTTCAAGAATTGCCTAATATTGAAAAAGCATTCAGAAAAGTTGCAGCCTGGCCTCTTGTTCATAATGAGACAATGAGAACTGCATTTCAAGAATTTGCGATGAATAATCTTTCCCTAAGTAACAAAGAAGCGACTGCTTTAACAGTATCCACTGTAAACCTGACATCTGCATTCTCATCTGATATTTTTGATGTCGATGTAAACATTTTCAGTTTTCCATAGTTGGGTTCAAATTCAGTCCATCTTGCAAGTTTTCTACATTGTTTGAAACTTTAATATTTGTTGATATAATATGAAGATAGTACCATTTTGTTTTTCAGGGTGTTACATCAGAACTTGGCGAATCTAATACAGGAGATCTGCTTCTCTATATTATTGACTCGGATATTGTAAGTTGAACTATAATACTAGGCTATTGTAAAGCTCTTAATTTATGATCATTCGTAGATTTTAAATTTTTGGCACAATAACCATCAGAAATAAGACATTATCTATGTCAAACTTTATTTATTTACCCACTTATAAGGATTCCCGTCGAACTAATAATAATAACATGTCGCTCTTCAGGATTCAATATTCGGACTGATCCTAAATGCGAGAGCCTGCAAAGGCACTTTGGAAAGTATGATGGACTTTCCACAAAAAGTTCCACATAAACTCACAACTGAGGAGATGGCAAACGTGAATAAAGCAATTTGTGATATGGGTCCAACCGAAGAGATAACTTTCAATTATTTCACAAAACCTGATCAGACTGAAATTCAATCTGAAGTTGCCACGCTGACCAGCCTTGTAAAACAATCCTTTTATCCCATCCCTATTGGAGCTAGTGCTCCCGTGATTGAGATTTATCAGAGGTCACTCAAACTTGAGTACAGAGCTTTAAGGACTACGCTGGCGTTGATAAAGTACTATATATGTCCTACCCTTAAAAACGACATGGATAAATTCTTCATCAAGTATGTCGTTACTGTTTTAATAAACACGCTTTGTTTTCTTTTTTTCTATCTGAAATACTTTCCTGTAGTAATAAAATCTGGCTTATTGCCATCCTTTTTAAACATTGTCCGCTGAACAATACTAGACCCGTGCCAACTTCTGCAGCTTGGAGAAGGACATGGACTTGTACGAGGCAGAGAAACAGGATTACCAGACGACCCCACCCCTCTACCCACCAGAGGACCCAGATGTTAAACTCCAGTCCCCCCTACAACCTCACCGCAGAAGCGCTGACCAAAACATCTTCAATCATAACAAGGGAGAGGTTAGTAGCTTAATAGCAGCTGTTGTCATCATCGTTCAATTGTTTCACATTTGGCTATGAAAGGGTTAAAGGTTGTTTAGTGCGAAATTTCTCAATCAATTCAAATTTAAACGTTGTGGGTAGGTACTAGGTAGTGTAATATTTATACACGCTATAATATACGCTTCAGCTGAAGTCATGGGATGTTTAGATACAGTTCCTAATTTGTGCGCTCGCAGTGACATTATAATATCTATGATACAATTTCTTATTTTGCTAATGTGGCCACTTACTAGTTAGGGAAAATGTGATCCTTGGAGCCTTCCTTAAGCTTACATAGCAGCTGTGAGAAAATACATTGAGGGGTATAATCCTATTTTTGATTTGCTGCTTTGATTGGGTATATTATTAATTAATGCTGGGGTATTTAAACTAAAACGTAAATAATGCTTACGATTAGATCAGAAGATTTGGGAGAAAATTACGGAAATCCAAAGTGCAGGTTTGAATCAGCTTCCTCTCTAAAAGATCACAATCCCTCTAAGCTAACTTTTCCTCACATCCGTTTTCAGCATCTCGACCCTTACAAGACTAAGCGAGAAATTAGAGACAAGCAAGGAACTCTAGATCAAATGAACCCGCTCTCTAAAAACGACCCCGCCCGTGCCAATGTAAGAAAGTGTTCTAGAGAGCGTTTCAGAATGTGTCTAAGTGTATAAAAGCATCCTTTTACAGCATTCGTTTACAGCATTTGTTGCAGTTTAATCTCGTGTGCAAGTGTTCGATTGAATTGCCCCAATTTCCCTCCTAAACCTAAACCCTCAATTCGATTATGCACCTGCGCTGTGTGTATGTTAAGTTAAATTTATTATCATTTATTTATTTTAATAAATAAATAATAATAATGGCTGTTTTTTTTCACGGTTGCTCTCAAAAATAAAAATATATCCGCATGCTCATTATATGTTTTTTTCTTTCTCTTCTTTTTTCTAGGTGGTCGACTTTTTGTCTGTCATCATCCTTTGTATTACGTGCTGCCTTTATGAGTCTATAAATAATCAGTGATATTCTGCGACCTAACCTACATTCTGCCACCTAACCCAGTATTAACCCTACATCTTTACTGAAAATGGAGTGCAGGTCAAAACGTATTCCTCTAATCATCATGACATTCACTAGAAGCGGGTCAGATAAAATCTGAATAGCGGATGTTATAATCAGTCACCATCATTTTACAGTATGGGGTTACAGTATGGGGTTTACGAAAATAAGGAAGCAGATTTGAAGCAGCTAATACATAATGGATCGGGTTAATTGATGCGACCTAAAGGCTAAAAGAGAGTTTGTGATCTCTGAAAAGTAAAATATTCCTCACAAATCTAACGTTTCTTTTCAGCAAAAATTTTTTTCAGCATCCCAACCAGTACTTAACTAAACGGGAAATAACGGACAGGCAAGGCGATAGTTCTGTAAATGAAATGAACCCACTCTCTGAAAAACATTCATCACGTAACGTAAGAAGTTCTTTTTTCAGGATATGTCAGTGTATGACATTCTTCTTTTGTTTGTTGGGGACTTCTAATATTTGCATAAAAAGCACGAAAGGATCTTAGACACTTTTGCCCTCAGTATTTCACTATTTTGGATTGAACAAGCTCCATGGCATATTGATTATTGTGATGTAAAGGGGTAGAAATATCAATCACCTGGTTTAAAGATATTTTGTTTGTGTGATTAGTGAGGAAAGGTATTCTCAAGGCTGCTACACCCCTGGTGAAGAGGGTGTACAGTTCAACTCCAACCCTCCACTGCATGATCGACCATCTTTATATTATATAATATAAAATTTCATAATTAGCTTTTTAATCATCATTCATTTTCAGTTGTCATTACTTATTATCATCACCAATTATCATCACCAATTATCATCACTAATTGTAATCACTAATTATAATCACTAATTATAATCACTAATTATAATCACTAATTATAATCACTAATTATCATTCACCCCCGCATTATCACCCTCATCTAGGTTCACTACGTTACAAATGATAGTTTATTAAAGTACAGCACTGACGAAGACAGGGTTCGTGTAATGGACGAACTTCTGGTAAGAATTATAAAATTGCGAAATTAATGGTGAACATTATGACGGTAGGTGAACTACACATTGATCTCGGTTTGGTATATTACATTTTCACTCTGGGGCAATTAACGGGCAAGATATGTAGGAACTAGGAAGTAGTTAGTGGGCATAGTGTAAGATATGCCCCCTCAATTTGGATGAGCTGGCAACATAACACCATGGCTATGTTATGGTGATATCTAAAAGAGCTGCAAATGATAATATTTAGACGGTGTAATTTAGCTTTCCTTCTCTCAGATAGATTTAAGGAGCGAGTCAGACAATTCACATCCAAACCAAACAGACATACGAACAGACAAACAACCAAATTTACGGACAGTACTAAATCCGAAACACAAGCGACAAGCAAACATAATACTCGACAAATCCCGTCCCGACCAATACTACAAAGTTTTGTTCAACTTTGGTATTCCTCCTGTACTCCCGGAGACTGAAATAGTTCAAAGTAATGGTACTCACAAAGTTGAGCAAACAAACAACCTTACTTATCAGTCAGATTCACGTAATCAGTCAGATTCACGTAGTCAGTCAGTGAGGTCCCCGGTAAGGAACAGATTTCAAACCTTTGGTTTTCTCACCACGTCGGTTGCATGTCCGGTGTTAGGATTGTGATAATATAAGAATATTTGGTGTTTATTTGTTGCATGTGCTGCCAACGCTGAAGCTGTGCTGCTGAAATTGTTGCTAATTCAAATACATACTGTTTTGTTTAATACGACTTCACGTGCATGTCTGTTCAAAACTTTTACTCTCTATCTCTTCGCAAGTTTATATTATGTACCTTTCTGTTTTGAATTTAAATCATGATTAAGCGCTTTTTACTACAAATTTAAAAAAATGACACTTCTAGGGTAAACAAAAATATAATTTTGCATGCCTATAAGAAAACTGTGAATACTTACAAATGCTCCCAAATATAGGTCAAGAAATCACTTGAATCGAACCCAAATGAGATCTCAGTGATTGAGAGTGAGATTTGGTATACGCTCACCCAGGGTAGGATTTACTACTCCCCCAAGACTCCCCTTGTTGAGGACATCATATCACATGTTAGATCACGTTCCTGCTTTTACATTTTTACCTTCACTTTTGGTATTTACTTACTATTTTCCCGGGCCAAATTTATGGAAGAGATTGCTAATAAAATTCTTATTCTCATCATTTATGACCTCATGACCCGATTACTTTAATAATCCGAACCGTTTCAGGCAAATGCGACTTTTAAGAAAATGGCAGATCTTGTTAATGGGACATCTAATCTTGAGAAGAAAATAGAAAACCTAATGGTAGAAATGGATGATCCTGCGAAAAGCATGGTAAGGATATCTAATATAATAGGAATACTGAAAGTCTAGAGCGTATACAATTTTAATTTTTATTTATTGAAGATAAGAAAGTTACTTGAACTTGGCTTTCTGATTATATATTCGTCTGTCTCCTACCGCGACCGTTAAAGAGACATGCCGTGTTGTCTCCTGCCGTTAAAGAGACATGTTCTCTCCTACTAATCGTACTTATCCTGCAGTTTATCACAACTGGTATCAACGCTCTGATAAAGTATATGGGACTCCCTCCGACTGACAATGCCACCGCTGTTCTTGAGGATGTTTCTAATGTTTTAAAACAGGTACGAAATAGTCAAATATAATACGAATTGACTTGTCCTTAGCAAATGAGTAAATAAAAGATAACGTGATAAAACTCTTCAGACTCTAGTCTGTAAACATCATAATATCGGGTGATTTAATAATACAAATTTGAGGATAATTTACAGTTGTATCTCAAAATATAAATCTCATAACTAATTTTCTCACAGCTGATAACACTGCCTGAGTCGTTCTCCTTGGACCGCTTCACCGGGTTTGATACTGAGAGAGAGATGGAACTAGCGGGGGTTGCAGCTGAGAAATCTAATGATACTTGGTTGTGGGCAGGTACTATAATTATTAATTGTCACGTGACTTTGTGTAGTTGAGAGACTGAGTTGGGTTGTAAATTGAATACGACTAAAAGCAGTTTCGGGCTCTAAAGAGTATTTTTTATAGGACTCCTAAAACTCTTCTGATTTACTTTTAGTGTGGCATGTCGCCAATGTAGTTAATTTCGGGACTTATTATTTTCTTGAGAATTTATCAAGAAAGTCAGTAACTTGAATGCTCCTATCGCAGGGGTAACATTCGAGGACTTGGCGGACAACATAACAGAGTTGCCGGATAACATTCGATACAAGATACGGATGAAGACTGGATACATGCCTCCTCTTCAGAATATCAGATACACGTAATGCTCCTCTGTTTTATATTAAAGTCATTATTGTAACGGTATATTAAAAAGCCCGCGATCACAGGGTGGAAGGTAATAGTACTCTTTGGTAGGCATAAGTCAGTTTTTATCGTATCAAAAAATATCCGACACGACCGAAAATACAGCCGGTTAATATGTAGCTCGCACTGAACGAAACAACAACAAACCCGTTCAAAATGCCGTTCCTACAATCATTGCACGTACACGTATGGTTATTATGCTTCATATTTCTCATATAGAACGTGGGCGGTCGTACATACAAAGAGAATCATTAATTTTATATTATAGTAACATCTGTTGGGTTCGCTTAAAGCACAAGAAAACTGAATATTTGAGAAGAGTATTTCAAAAAATATTGACAGATTGATTGATATATGTTCAAAATTTATAATATAAAAATGGAACAAACGTCCTCTGACATAGTATGGGTTAAATATTTAAAACTTATTACTGTAGGTATAGAAGCTGCAGTAGATACTCGTTTATAAATGTTCACCTTTCAGTATCTGATATTCGTTATGGGTCAAAACCATAATTTTAGGCGACAAACAAAATATGGCATTAGAGCATTAGTTATGGCTTAGAAATATCCAAGTGTATTAATTATATTAAATAATCAGGAGAGAAAGCTAATAAGAAACTTACTAAATAATATACTAAATAGTAAATAAGAAACAGTATTCAGCAATTATCAAATTAAAAACTGTGATATATGACTTTAATTGGAATCATAGCTTAGCCAAGTTATCACAACCAAGAATTGGTTGTCATGCAAAATTAAAGATTGTTAATGTTAATTTGAACATTGTTTTTGTTATTTCCACATAATTAAGTAGCTTAGTGCAGTGTCTATCAGCTGATAATCAGTCTTGTGTTTATAGCTCGGATCCGTAGCGACTGGTCCTGTAAATCTGCAAGGAGAAATGTTTAGAATAGCATTCTTTACAAACCATTGAAATGCACTCAGACAATGTGTGAGCTAAATTAAGATGTTTGCTTAACATATTAAGATGTTTGCTTAACAAGGGGCTAGTACTATTAGTACTATATTATCTAAACGGTATAAAGTTCCATACATACCTAGAATCATTCTGACTTAGAGGTGCAATGATGTTTCTGCAGGTGAGCAATCAAGCCATCATCTATGACGTGCCCTTCAAACTCAGCTAGAAGTTCCCATCGTCCCCTCAAATCTTTGATGAGATCAGTTGTAACTTCCTGAAATACCCCTGTTAAATGGCGCTTGATATATCTGAAACAACTCTCTGAGTCTGTAAATCAAAATGTATTTAGATTTTTAACATCCAATTAAAAAACAATGTAAATCGGTGCTCTCATGTTCGTTAAAATAAGGTGCTTTAAAACACCCGATCCAATTATTTGAACTGACGTTAACATTAGTTTTCAAGTTATTTCATTATCAAAGAAATCAGAAGACCGAAGGATAGCCCAGCGGTTATGACAACCATCAGTTTCCTCTTCCTCAGTAGTTGTTTGTGTCTCGGCCTCGGTGCCACAGTGATGTTTAATGAGGTGAGCTAAAAGGGCCTCGTCTATTTGATGTCCAATAAACTCGGCAAGCAGTTCCCAAATGTCCCTCAAGTCTTGTAGTAGTTCCGTTTCGATTTCCTGAAATTATGCGAGTATAATAATTAAGTTGATATAATATCTAACCTTACAATTGTCGTCACAAACCTTGGCATTTACTATTGTTGTTGATAATTAAAGAAAAGTTTTCAAAAATAATTGTTAAAGAATTTAAAGATCTTATCACCACGTTTCTTAAACGTTATCCTCACTTGGTTATAGAAATCAGTTAGACGTAGAACTGCCCAGCGGTTGTTGCAACCCCCCTCAGATTCTTCTGTTGGTTCAGCAGTAGTAGGAATAGCAGTGGTAGGTTGTTGTGTGTGGGCGGGACAAGTCAAGCTTAACTTTACAATATTCCCATGTTTTTCAGTATCATCCGACAGTAGTGTCTCCCACGAGAGATGGATATCATCTTTAAGTGATTCTTCATAGGTGGAACAGATCCCCGACTTGTACATCTCAGCTACCTCTTGGTTGGTCAGTTCTCGTTTCAGGATATTCAGTTTTGTCATTTCACCTCCGAATGAATATGATGAACCAGCAAAAGAAGCCTCCATCTTGTAGGTTGCATGATATTGTCCAAATACAATAGAACCGGTTGTTACTGAGAATTTCTGGCCAGAAGGTGTGGTGCTAGTCCCTATCTCCACACCATCATAATATAGTTTCTTTTTGCCGCTGCTATATGTCCAAGTAAGACAAACATGGTACCACTGTGAATGTACCGGTGTCTGGCTGTGCGGAGTGTTGCCGCCCGTGAGAAAAGTCCATACCAGGTTATCACAGATATTGATAGAGTCATGTTGAGCATTGGTATTGTAGTGTATCCACATTCCATAACGAGATGTGGGACTCAGTTGTTTGATCCAGGAGCAGATCGACAGCTCCTCCTCCAGGGGTGACATGTCCGGGGATATCATAATGTAGCTTGTTGTATCGTCTCCAAACTTTAGAGCGATGTGTGGTTTGTCACCGAGCACAGACGTCAGGAAGGGAAGCAAGAGGAGGGAGATATTGTACGCAAACATTTTGTTGGTATTTGGTGGACGGTGGTGGTTACTTGAATCGGTCAGGAAGATTTCAGACTTGTTTCCTTGAGAATTTGCTGACGTTATAAGATTTCTTAAGATACTTTCTCTTATCATGTGATGTGTGAGTTACTTATATTAATCACCCTCTAACTATGGACATTGCCCACATTTACCCCCCGAAATCATGTCTTTGGCTTCATTAAATTAATTTTACCATGAAAACAGTGATATTATCAACAACAAAAAGTGTAAAGACTTTTTGTTGACGGATTTTGTGCCGGTTGACCAGGATTTTACTTAAACCACAAAATGGATAATAACACCATGTCCACAATTACAAAGTACACCTTGATCATTCTAGTGTGGAAATCAGCAAGAAAAACACAAAATCAAGTATCAACAGCCAGATTTGATATATTCGCTCATGCGTGAAGGTTACTTTGGTAAATTACCTATTTTTGCCACTTTTCACTTTTTCCAAGACTAAGTGCCTTTTTTGTAAGTTGTATAGAAATGTGGCCTCTGCAGTTATTTTAAGCTAAAATTCAAGTCTTCGCTGACCCGATCAGCAATTAGCTGGAGAATGATCCAGGTTCGGCAGATATTGGAAATGAAACCAGACCGGATTGGATAAAAGTAAGCCGGGTCAGTGAACAGACCGGATGTCTGATCTGCTACTAGTTGGCCTCCTAGTTTGTAGACAACATAATAAATTAATAACAGAATAATAAAATTAAAGTTGTATTTAAATATTACGTTTTACAAGATAGATGTAGTTAGATCTGAACGTAAAATTTATAAGCGTGTATATTAAATATAGTGGTATAGTGGCTAAACTGTTACATTCTTATAAAGCAGATCATCTCTCAATTCAAGACAAACAATGTCTGCTGATAAAAAACAACAACACTACGTCCTAATCCGTGTAAAAGTAACAAGTGACAGCACGATGCCGTTGAAAGACCAGTCACTGCCCACTGGTTACTGACTACCAGTTAGTGACAGTTAAAAGTGAGCTCTCCACCAAATGCTCCGCTTTATAAACGCGTGCACTAATTACAGTATCAGACGATAGTTATCAGGTTTTGAGTTTTGGGAGTTATTTTAAAATTCTGGTCCCCGATAAATTGTTATTTTTAGTGATACCGATAGCGGTGATCAAGGTCTGCAGTATATTATATATTACTCAGAGCCATGTATTATTTTTATCTGATATACGGACTAACTCAGAATATTTAAACTAATTGAATTGGTTCGTCATCGTGTTGGTCTCGCGACCAACACGGCCGAACCGACAAAGTGTTTGTCGATCTTCCTTAGTGGGAACTTTATAATTACGGTGCAGACCTCCTAATAACAAGTAGCATTCGAAAGTCGAAACAGCCTCCCATTTTGGTTTTGACTGACCGAGTAGAAGAAAAAATAAAATCCTCTCCATTTAAAGTCAGCCACCCCGACGCGACCACTCCGTCAAAATAATATAGTTTACAAGAGACTGTGGGAAAGAGTGAACCTGTGACGGTATCACAGCTAGTGTACCTGCATGTGTACCAGCATAATAAGTTCCAGTTCGGGTATCGTCTTGAAATAGTTCCCCAATAATCACATGAACTTGGAAAAGGTAGGCATGTTGGTAGTATAGAATGCGATACTATTGTGAATTGTCTTCTTTCTTCCAGTATTTATACCAAAGATTTAGGTATTTACCCCTGATCGTCTCAGGTACAGCTCCCCTTGAAATTACGAGAGCCACCCCATTAACAAGGGTTCCCGTCTCTTATTTGATCCACGATTTAAACATTTTTTAAGCACGTGCTACTAATCGCTATTTTATCAAGATGGTCACTGAAAACGTAATCTTGTTGGGTTTAATAAGATTTCTACGATATTTACATAATATAAATATTAAATCCGTCGCTCGTAGGGAGCGACAAAGACTTATTTTAACATACGGTATGTTATTATCATCAGCCCACAAATTACTCCGATAATTTCTTGGCAGGGACATTGACACGTGGTGTTGGGTAGTTATCTTGTACCTACAGCATGAGCAACCACACGTGTTCAAACTTCTAGTCATGTGCTCTTTATATAAATGATGAGTGAAAACGTCTTCTGATTGGGTTTGATCTAGATTTCTTGAGGAGCCCCTCTCCTCAATCATATTAGTAAGCACAGATTTAGTTGTATCATGATGTGCCGTTCGTTCGGAATTTAATTCAGCAACCGTCATGGTATTATAATACCTTGCGGGCAAAATCTGCAAATTATCAGCTCTCAGTGTCGACGAGTTTTAGTGCATACAATTCCCGGAAATAGTTATAACTAAACTGTTCCTACATCATCTCAGTACTATCCACTATTTAATAATAATATTATGTCAACCATATCCTTGTTATAAAGAACACCTTATTTTACAGATTTCGCAAATTTTTCTCCTCCATGAAGACTTTACAAATAGTCTGATAACATTACTGGCTAAGAATTCGAAGAATGTTATGATTTGTAAAATTAATGGTTGGATGTGTAATGTCCTGTAGAGTCACTCATTACACTTTACCTGTTTAACTGCGAGCCAAGCAAGATATTAGATGTTCTATGTGGGGGTATGTGCAACTGTGTTCATAGTCCGAGATTTTAACCACTTTTTAACACCCGATTATGATAGACTTCAATCGGCTCAGATACCAAGCCTTCGGCTGAATCATCAGGTTGAAATAATGACAGACCTGTCCTTATGTTGATGCTAATTCTCTTATTGTCTGAATATGATGATATGTTGACAAAGTATCATTCCCATAAAAAACGTCACAAGACAATATTATACCGTTTAAACATCATCACTTAACAAGTTAACACTTTACACTACTATCAGTCAAGTTGAGCCAAGTAACCCCAAATTCCTCAAACATTCCTCAAACCGTAATCACCAGGTACTGGAGGAGCTACCCGTACGATTACCTCTGGGACCGTCAGTACTGGGTATTTGGGTTTGTGTACATTCAGGACTTCATAGAGCGGGGCATCTCTGATTTTATTGGGAATGGAACATTTAATCTCCCTGGATCTTACTCTCAGGTAATTTGTTATGGTGATATATCACGTGGTATACCACGTGATATAGCAGCACGTGGTTACTGGTTTAGCATGTGGTTTATAATTGTGGATTAAGTGGGGTCAGGTTACTAGTTATTGATTGAAAAAACTAGGTTTCCAGCTATGTAGTTAGGACAATGTTGTGATGTAAATTACATTAATATATATGTAATGTAATTATCTGTGAACATCATTTGGCTGCTATCTATCTAAAATGTGGCAGATTGCACATCAATAATTGGATCATTACATTCTTAATTGTACTTTTGAGTCTTTGTTAAAACCTTTTCCGCGCGACCGTCAAATTTTGATATTCAAAGTTTAAATCAGGAAAAAGACCAGGAAAACACGGTCAAAACAACAAAATAATCAACATTATTTCAGATGTTCCCGTATCCATGCTGGTTAAACGACAAGTACCTGTTTATAATCTCCAGGACACTGCCCATGTGTATGGTTATCAGCTGGGTTTACATAATCGCTATGAGCACTAAACGAATCGTCTACGAGAAGGAGCTCCGCTTGAAAGAGGTTTTATATCACGTGACACTGCTTAAAATCGCTGAGATTCAATGACAAATTTCAAAACGTGGGCTATTTTAACCCCGAATTCAAATTCAGAGTTCAAACACATTTAAATAATTGTTAATAATTATTTTTGTTCTAATGTATTGTGGTGCAGGTGATGAGGGTTATGGGGCTTGGTGATGCAGTACACTGGTGGGGGTGGGGTATCACCTTGTTGGTTACATCCAGTGTCACCAACGTCTTCCTGGTCCTCATCCTTAAACACGGTCAAGTAAGCAATTTTTATTTTTAGAGTTTGTAGCCCACAATGTCGTCCCACAGAATAACGATAACTTTAAAATTGGCGTGTTTCATGTACTCTCAATAATGATACGTCTTAGATTATAACAATAATGTGAAGAAATTGTTAAAGAATAAATATAATATCTTTTATAAAAGTAAGATAATATGAAACTCTTGCCCTAAATCATACATTTAATCATTAAGCTCAGTCTCAATCATAGTTGCCACTGTTACTGTTGATTTAACCATAGCATTCAGTCCTAACTGACAACCTTGCTGTTCATTACAAGACCTGTCACTTTCCTCTGTCCTAAACTGTTGAACCCACTCTTTGATCTTCTTGTAAGGCACTAACAATACTGACATAAGGAAATTAGGAACCGTATTATCATAAATAAGTGGGTTCATCAGAGAGTTTATGGGAAGGAGCAATATTGAGAAGTATGGGTAGAAGTGAGTAGCGTTTATTACTCCAAGGTAATGCAACAGACACACAATAATGCAAGGCACCCAACAAAGGAAATCAGTGAGGATGATAACGCTAATACGCAGCTGGATGTCCCGGGCAGTTTTCCTGGATTTGTCAGTGTTGGTCGTGCCTGCTGAGCTAAGGTTAATGTAGTTTATGTAGGTGTAGCAACAGGCAATAACAACGAAGCAACAGAAGTTGACGATTAAAAGTGACCAAGTGAAGCCACTTTTGGGGTCACCCTTTTCAACAAAGTATTTGAAGAGGCAAACTCCCTCGTTGCCGAAGAACCCTATGCTGTCCCCTTTTATACCTCCGTAGCTGTCTGTAAACATGGAATTTACCAGTTTTCTGATTTCCTGCCATGACAAATCCACTTCATGGGCTCCCAAGAATCTGCCATAGTAACTTTGTAGCGTCATGATGTGTTCCTCTTTATTGACAGCCCCTTTGAAGAGAATGTTATCTTTGCCATAATAAACACCATTCATAAAGTAATCCTGATACCGAGGTAGCAGCGGGGCAAGTGAAAACGCAAGCGATGGAAAAATGATAAAAGCAAATACTGTTGACGCTAGGACAAGCAAGTATTTCCAATCAGCTGGTCTTGACGAAATGCTTCGTGTTTTCATGACCCACGCCCTGAAAATACTGATATAGACCATCGAGAATAGAGCTAGTTGTGTTCCAATGCAATTGATGACTCCAAGAAAAGTACAGAGTCCACTTTTAAGCCAGTTAAAGCGGCTCATGCAATACAGTTCTCCTCGAATACTATCGTGAACCGCCAGGATTATCAAATATATTCCAACAAACATGTCTCCAATTGATACGAAGATAACGAGCAGTGCCACTGTCAGTGACGTTCTGTTGCTCAATTTCCCCTTGAGTTGTAGCAGATGATTTACTGCCACAATGATATTGAATAGAGTTGCAAGGATTCCTTGAATCCAAGCTGATGTCTTAAGGAACGTTGAGTTGATTATCTGGGCACCACATTCTTCGTTACATTCGTCTAACCCGTCTGCACAATCAAATCTCCCGTCACATTTTAGTGAAATAGAAATGTTACGATCGTCTGACTTACAAAAGAAGTGGTTGGAACAGCTCTCTTCATCAGAGCTGTCACCACAGTCATCATGAAGGTTGCAAACTTTGTCGTAGGATATACAGCGTTTGTTTCTACATGAAAAGATTTCGTTTGTGTACCGGCCTCTCCCCAATCTTTTAGCGATGGTAAGAGTGTTTTGTTTGGTGAGAGTATAAAGCAATCCTGGCTCGATGGAACAGCTGTCGTGCTCAATCTTTTGAAGAGGACACTCAGCATCTGAACAGAGTCCTAGACAACTAAGATAAACGTAAAGCTCCCCATAATACGACCTACACGACTGAGGCTTTACTGGATGGATCAGGCTGGTCGGAATTGTGCCATATGCTTCCTCATTCATTGAAACAGTTTTCTTCTCACAACTGAGATGAGGATAACCTGTGTCTTTCTGCAAACTTATTCCAGGAACGCAATGGCTTAAAACCTTTTGCTTTTTGAATTTTGTTGCTTGAGTCAAAAAGCCCCTTTTGTTCTGAGCAATGTTATCACAAACCTTCCTCTCTGTTTCGCAAATGTCTTTGTTGCGACACAAGTTTTCCAATTTGACAAATTGAGATTCACAGATGAATACATCTCTACATTCTTTATGCTTTTCAATAAAATGTTCATAATTTGGGCCCTCTAAGCATACCCTCCAAATTTCTTTATCTTCATCGCTGCCATCGATACAATCTTTTATTCCGTCGCAAGCCCACTCTATTGGAATGGATTTTGGAAGAAGCTTCTTCCCCCTGTACAATGGCTCTAAGACCCTTCTGTGACATTTAAATCGTTCGGTCATACCATTGCACCGCCATTTGTTCTCATCAACCCCATTTCCGCAATTGTGAGCAACACCATCGCACGTCAGGTGCTTGTGAACCGTGCACTGAGGATCCAGAGTTAAACAATTGTTGTCTATTCCATCATCGCAATTGGGCCCGTAATCTGGACCAATACACAGGCCGAGATCAGTTACAGAAGTGGTGTGCCCATTTACTTCGCACATCAGCGACACATTATCCGTGCAATTCAGTTGATCTTTTCCATCTAGGCAGACCTTAATATATGCGTTGTCAGGCCTGTAACATTTCTGATTTTCACTGATGAACATTTCAGCGTTGTTTTCTGTATATCCACCGATACATTTAGTTTTATTGGCTGTTTCCTCGCAACCGATTTCATCTTCACCGTTAATGTTACACTGTATTCCACCATCACAGATCTGATAGGGTGTAAGCCAGGAGCTTATGTTAGTGTTCCCAAATTCCTTCAGACATTCCAAACCATATGTGTGATTACAGTTCACCTCATCGAATCCCCAAATCGGGTGGCAATCTCGTTTACCATCACAAACTTGACTTTGATAAATTCGCTTATTGGTCGGATCGAGACATTCAAATGATTCCTCTTCTGAAGGGCAGTTTTGTTCATCTAGATTATCTCTGCAGTCAGTTCTATTATTGCATTCATAAGACCAAGGTACAGCAACTCCACTCAGAAACCTTGTCTCAGGTTCTATTATATCAGTCTTTGTCCTGTTACAGATGTAATACCCACACAGGTGCTCTGTGTCGTGGATATAGCGGAATAGGTGCAAGATGTGTCCACAAACCTGATGGAAATTGGATTTTTGTTATGATACCGAATTCACGTTTCTGACATCCCGGAGCAATAAACATGATTAATGGACTTCTATGATGGAGCGTGAACTTGCAACATACGAGTATTGGGATTCAGATGGTAGCTCAGTTATCTAAAATAACTAATTCCCTTAAATAAACAATTCCCTTAAAGCTTACCTGGTAGTATTTGGGATCGTTTTCACATGTCTGATTATAGAAAACTTGATGGATAAAATCATTAGAAGAAACAGTGTAGCGGGTGTCAGAAGTCCAGCACTTGAAAACATTGCTTTGCCTGCCATCATGCTCATCTTCTGTAATATCACCACAACCAAGCAGAAGGTAACCTCCGTACTCAGTTACTTTGCAGTCACTGTTACCTCCTGTTGTAGGATAGGTTAATACTGATCTCCAATTTGGAGTTAGAATTTGATTTAATTGTAGCTACTAGGTTTACCCTTATGATGGTTAAGGTTAACCTATTTTTGTGTGCATTAGTACGACTAATAGCATTTAAAGTACAAAAAATGTATATTAACAAATTGTTATTTGTTCCACTGACCTTCTATTTCACCCCAGTCCCCTATATCTGCAAGTTGGCCAGAACTACTTGTAACGACTAGAAGGAGTAGCCACATTACCATAATTTATTTTCTTTAACTGTGATGGTTGATGAGTCAAATTTAAAAAATATTTCGATAAAATTTAATAAAACATCTAAGTTACAAATTTAAGAACAATTGCTGCAGATAAATACGACGTTATAAACTTCTAAAACGGAATTGTAAGGACGGCATCAAGAATAATTATGACTACAGATGTGTGAAAGGTGTTCCACTAACTGTGCAAACCTTGTCAAAAACACAATAGACGGAGGTGTTGAAATACTCAGTTGGGAGCAGGTGAAAGCTCACTCCTCAGAAATTAATATTTAACGTTAAGTTTTACTGAATTCGAATTATCTAACAAGTCTTCAGTTCGAGAGTTTCCTTAAGGCACCTTTGCTAAACAATTTTTTTAAATTGATCAAAGTTGAGAACGAAGTGGTTCAAGACAACGAGAAAATGATATAAAAATTAGTCGAGGATCGGAAATCTGTCGAAATTATTGTGTAAAATCCTTGAAAAACAAGTAAGCCTATTAAAAAGCTAGTGCCAGCAGGTGACTGAGACACTATAATATCATTGTTCTGACTGGAGCTAGTATTGCTTCACAGCTACGAGATCACGTGACCACATTGCGATGTGAAGTTGACTGAAAGTTTCTGTTAACGAGAGCGATTAAGGCCAGAGGGGGGGGGGTAAGGGGTCAAAAACATCGACCAAAATATTATTTTCTTAATCAATATAATTTTTGATGACAAAAACATTGCAACTATTCACATATTTGTAGCTGCTTAACTTTTTTTAATAATTGAGGTTAACCGACTTTCACAAAATTGACTATACAACATTGAGGTTAATAAAATTGAGGTTAATATTTTATTACACTCCATAATTTTTTGTTATTTCGGTCAGCAAATGTTAACTCTAAATTTTAGGTTCATAATTATCAGAAAAAGTAATATCCAAACGTTATTAAATGAGGTTAACCTCTTTTTTTAGATGTAGCGAGAATAGATCAAATGATAGAGCTATTATTTTCATCGTTAGTTTACGGTATACACATTTCTAAATAGATGACGTGTTGATTGACTTTCTTTTATCTTGGGAAAATGAAAAAATGAGGTTAACCATCACATTTTGGTACTGTAGGGAATATACATACGATTCTTACTTATGTAATGTACCACAATATCGCAGTGAGGTATCTATTGGTATCACAATGCCTACAACTATAATCACGTGACAAAGGTGATTTGAACTGACCATATTTTAGTAGAAGATTTTATCCGTAAATGGCTAAAAAATGAGGTTAACCTCTCATTTTTTGAATATCTGACCAGTAAAATACATGTTAACCTCAAAAACTTAATCGTTACACTGTGCAAATGTTTTACTACATATATAATAACATATTAATAAACCAATCCCAGTGTTATATGGTCTAAAGCGAGGTTAACAACCAAATTTTTACTACTTTCGAGCAGTTAGTGTTTACAGGAAGTCTTGGTTAACCTCATTTTTTACAATACAAGGACATTAACTACTGAAAGTGGCTAAAATCGTTTAGGGGATGGCTAGGTCTGATCAAGCAAACGTTGTTAGGTGTATAGAAAGTCCTAACTAACAAACTGTGATACATTCCAGTGAATATTCAAAATTTTGAAAACACTAAATTGCATCTATCTCGAAACACATTTTGTGACTTTCAGTTCCTTAGTTGAGAAAACCAGCCACCCCCTGATATTGGGATTTGGTACAGTGGTTCCTTGGACAAGTATCTAGATATTAGATGCAGCGATTTTTTTTATTTGACTCGTTTCTCGAATTATGAGGTTAACCAGCTAAATTTGTCGAATTTTTGACATGGTTAACCTCATAATTCAAGAACCGAGTCAAATTAAAAAAATCGCTGCATCATAAATGAGGATAATTGTCCAAGGAACCACTGTACCAAACCTCAAGATCAGGGAGTGGCCGGTTTTCTCAACTAAGGAATCGAAAGGTCAAAAAAGTTACAGCCGTTTAAAGATCCAGTTTAACATGTAATTACAGGTAAACCTCAAAATTTAGCGCGCGATATCTCAGGAACGCAAGGTCTGATTTTGATCCGGTTTTTTTCTTCTTGTTCGTCTCCAGCAACTATTATCAAATATGTGAAAACTAGAAAAGTTCCATTTACCCCCCCCCTCTGGCCTTAATTGGTATCTGGGACTCTGCTAACTGCCGGAGTGAGGATACAAGGATTGTTTTAGAAGAGCTGTGGTTCTCTTCTTGTACAGTATTTAACGTTATCAAAAAATAAAAATAACATTGTGAAGTATTGACATGATGGTACCTTAATACTTTACTAATAAACGCACAGTACTATTGAAATCATTCAATCATATCGGAAGAAATGTCAAGATTGTGGTGTTATTCGCACTATAAATACTATCATCCACTTGTAATATAACTTAATGAACCGTGTTAAATCCAGTGTCAGGCCTACAATCAGCCGTTGCCCAGCTGTTCATAATCATATTTTGCAACACTACGTAAAGGGACCGTCAGTCAGACACAATATTTAGAAATGTTGTAGAGCCCTGACTATCAGAGGCCAAGCTGGGCTATATCTACCAACTTGAATTAAGGTGTCAAAAATCAGATGGAGGCGGGATTTAACATTGAGATACAAATAGGATTATTTATCAGGAGCACGGACACCTGATTTAGCATATGGCTATATGACCAGGTGTTGATCCGGTACATGGCTTTGTGAGTCTGGTTATTTCGTTATGATTAATCTAATATTTCTATATAATATATATATAATTCACGATTCAATTCGAGGCTTAAAAGACCAGATCCCTGGAGTAATCTCCGGTTTCGAAGTCAAAGGAGAAATACGAGGGAAAAAATACCAACTAAACGATCACCTGCCGTATTGAAACTATGTGGCGAAAGTTAGAATTCATTCTAAACTAACTTATCGATCGATTCAGTCTTGATGAATTGGGAGCCTTAATGATAATTACGACTTATGTTGCCGAAAACTGCACTGGGCGCTATATTAATGCAGTGCAACATTAATCACTTAATACCGAAAGAAAAGTCGGCGTGAAAAAAGACGTTAAAATGTCAGAATATTGCAACTCATGCTCATAGGGGTAAAACGATTTTAATTAGCGATATCGAAATTGACTTAAAAACCATCTATCAGCTCTGAAAATACCTTTAAAAGAAGTTTTGCAATCAAATCCCTAGAGAAAAAGAACTGTGTACTAAGATTAAGATATTCAGTTCAGTAATTACACTTTTCAACACGTTTGTGCTCGCTTATCAGTTACTTATCATTACGTTGATAAGACTTGCTTGTTTAACCGGTGCCGTGGTTGTGTGATGTATAAATCGGAGAAATACGTGGCTTATAAGCTTGATGAAGTGAAAGATGATGCAGCTGAATGGATCCGGAAAACTCTTGGGCTTGCTAAAGCAGATCATGTTAACGCGTGTGCAGCTCAGAGTTTCAGTGGTAAAAGAGAAATCTCCAGGGAAGTCATGGCTCAGAGTCTTAACGCTGCGTTAAAAGTTATGTATAGACAGTCGTTGTACATTAATCAGCTAGAGAAATATAATCAGAAATTGCACTCCGATGTAATTGACAGTCAGGGAACAGTAGTTGTATTGCAGAAAGAGCTGCTAGCTGCCAAAGAAAAGCAGCTTGATGACTTGAAATCTGTGGTTGTAGCATCAGTCGAGGATACTGTGAAATCAGAGTTGAAGACATACAGCGCCGCAGTACAGGCATCAAAAACCTCAGCAGCAGGTCCTTTGTTGGATTCGGATAGAAACATTTTGAAGAATGTCATCAAGGATGTTGTGGCAGAAGGAGACCGAAGTCGGAATCTGATGTTATTTGGTATTAAAGAAGAGAAAGGTGAGCTGTTATGCGACAAGGTCGCTCAAGTGTTGTTGGAACTTGGCGAAAAGCCAAAAATAGAAGCTAGCAGAATTGGTTTGAATAAACCCAAGGATAAGAAACAAGTGGCTGACAGACCTGTTAAGGTGACTTTGACGAGCTCCACAATCGTGCAGCAGATTTTGACTAGAGCAAGGCATCTCCGTAGCTCAGAACTTTTCAGTAAAGTCTTTATCAGTCCAGATAGGTCTCCAGAGGAACGTGCCGAACAGCAAAAGCTTGTTTTAGAACTCAAGAAGAGATCAAACGACGAGCCAGATAAGAGACACTACATAAAAGGAGGCAAAGTGTGTAGTGTGGACAAAATTGTTGTTTGAAATGTGTTATGACAGAGTTTTGCTTGGATTTATGGATTCCTGGTTGGCTAAGATTTTAATTTTTTTGATAAGCTTCTAAATCATATTCGTCTTTCAACACAAGACTGTCAGTCTTCTAGAATTTTGTTTTGATTTGTGTATTAAGCTGATGTATTTAATCTTACTTACCAGGTCCATAATTTCGTGTGGAGTATATTTTTAGAGTTATTTAGGTTTTATATTAGCAGATTTAGGTATATAATTATTGTATATTATTGTATGTATAAATTCTTGAGTAAACATTAACCAGTAAACAAAGCTGGTTCCCAAACAAACATTCGTTAAAAAATATTCAAGAAATAGTTAAAACTAGACCACTAACAATTCACTGATAATGTTTGTGTATCTGGTGCGGTTGGAAACTAGACACGTGTCCTCATGCGAGTATAACCAACAGTAACACCATTAACAGGGCGGTTAACAGTAACAGGGTCGTTATATCACCTGGCTCAGTAATAACCCGATCTAACACTTTCAAAAATAACAACATGAGATTTACGCTTTTATCGATGTTTTAAATACATCGGACAAACGAAATATACGTGATACTAAAGATCTTGATGATTCATCAGCTGAAACTATATTTGGGTTGTCATGTGTGACCACTGCTTAATGAACTTTTAAGGAATACAGGGCTGAGCAGATGGTTAAAAGTTCAAACTACGAGGATTCTTCATGAGATTGCCTGGTGACTTGGTAAATTTAGTTATAAAGTGTGGTATTACTTAAATTATTAAATAAAATGCTGCGTTGCAAACGCGCTCAAGCATCAGATACTAAAACCAAAAAGCGTGTCGGAGCGTTAGAATTTGATGGGTACTATTGGAAATAAAATGAGATGTTTTCAGTAATTCATTTCATGTTCCGCCAACTTCATTATATCAAAGAGATTTAATGCTGTCTGAGTTTGGTTGTATGATTTCAGGTGCAAATCTGCACCCATTTCATTTCAGCTAATACGTTTGCCGAAAAATTACCAGTTATTTAAGAAACCAACTTGCCGTGATACAGATCTCCGAAACATCTATTATCAATGTATTATCAATACTGCAATACATGCATTATAAAAACTAAATGCTCAAATTAAAATAAATCGTACTTCTAACGTCTCAAAGATTTTGAACTATCTTTTTCGTAATCGAAGCCCCACTAAAACCCCGTCAAAACCCCACTAAACCCCACTAAAATCCCATTTAAACCCCACTTAAACCCCACTTAAACCCCACTAAACCCCACTAAAACCCCATTTAAACCCCACTCCCCCAGATAACGATATTCAGCGACTGGTTCCTAATCTACATTCTCCTCTCCATGTTTTCTCTCTGCAACATAGCCATGTGTTTCCTCATTTCTGTTTTCTTCGTGCAGAGTAAGCTTGCAGCTGTGGTTAGTGCTGTGGCTTTCTACACCTCCTACCTCCCCTACACAATCGCTTCTCTGCAGGTAAAACTATTTATCACTATTAACTTAATGATTGATTGTGGTGCTGGGTGCCCTTATTTTTGTTCTAGAAATTTAATCTATTGTATTAGTATCTATTGCTGTTAGTAGACACAGCCTTCTTTCGTATCAAATTAACTTTTACCTAATGATAAACTTTAAGGAGGAAAATATGGACTTTTGGATGAAGATGTTGGCTAGTGGTTCCTCGACTACAGCATTTGGTTTTGGCATGCTTCAAATAGCCAGGTATTAACCGTCTATTATAAGCTTCTCAAATGATGCGAATGCTCGACTGACCAAATAAAACCTGAAATTATATTGTATATTTCTCTGTTTGAGAAACAGTAACCACAAGACTTGTCGTTATCACGTGACGATATTGTTATTCTCCCTTCATTACCCTAGTAACAGTTGCTACCCAGGTTTGAAGAACAAGGTATCGGGCTCCAGTGGGATAACTTCTACTATCCTCCAGATAATGCCCAGGAGTTCTCCACTCTCCACGTGTTTGGCATGATGGCATTTGACTTTGTCTTTTACATCCTTCTTACTTTCTACTTTCAGCAGGTAGCTGTTGTTTATCATATTAAACATATATAAATCAGGTAGTTTCGTAGATCATCATCAAAATATGTTTTCAAATGTGGGTGCGAATCAGATATTGAAGTTCGATCCAACGATAAATATCCTAAAAGAAACCATCGCAGGTGTTACCGTCAAATCACGGATTTATCTCAAAGCCCTGGTATTACCCCATTAAGGGGTGCCTGAAGCCGATAGTAAGATGGTTGGAGAATGCCGGTGCCCTCAGACAGGGCTACATGGAGGTAAGTTGTTCGTGTTTATCTCCTTTCTGCCGGCTGATTCTTCTGCTGTGACCACAGCGGTCCGGGTTTTAATCTTGAAAGCATTCTGGCTAACACTTCCGTGTCTTTGATTTCCAAGCTTTATCTTACAGCTAAGCAGAGCAGAAAACAGATTTATAAAATATTGATCCAAATATTTCTGCTAATTCTTGTGCTGTGATCAGCGATTTATTTGTTGTTCTTCATGTGCTAATTGCTTCATGAATCCCCTGCTAATAAGCGCTACACTTTTAATTATTGCTAATTGGCTAATTACTTAATCAGCTATATGTTTCTCATCAGGTTCCTGATGAAGTGGATTTTGTTGAGTTAGAGCGATGCGTTAGTACAGTTGAGTTTTACACCTATAACTTTGTGTTGTCTGTATACTTCCAACAACACATTCTATGTGTTCACTTTGGTACAGCTGAAGTGTTTTTCGATGGAAAATAATTTTAAAATAATTCGCACTGACTGCTTGATGAAAAAAGAATAATAAACATATTCTAGAAATTCTCGACGTATAATGTATATGCAATATGCATTAGGGCTCATCGTTGAAATGAACAAATTCTTGGTGCGATGTCCAATAAGTTCAGTTACACTAATTTTTCACTTTGCACAGTTAATAAAACACTAGCTGTTTGTGAAATCTGAATATCTGTTTTCTGGTTTGACTGCATGTGAATTGTAAGCATATCAATGTTTACATAAAGTTTCATATAACTGCATTTAATTGATGTTCTTTCGTCTTTAGATAGATTCTTCTAACCATGCCTTTTAAAAATGTGACACCACCGAATGAAACCTCTGCAATGTATTCTTGTTGTATTGAAAATAATTTAGTCACCAAAATAATGTCATGTGGGTACGTAATGTGGCTATGGCTCCATTTATAATGTTTCTGGGTTACTGTTCGTATTATTGCTTTAGTTGTCATTGCTAATAAAGTGCTGGGAAGTACCACTGAATGTACATGTGAGCTAATCATGAAGGCTTCTTGTTCAATATCAAAAACTGATATTGTAAGTAAATGAAAAGTGTTATAATACAGCAGTTGCAGTTGCAATCAGCAGTTGCAATGAGCTTATTGCAGTCTCTTGAGTCTTGGATTTGTAGTTTAAATTGTTGCGAAAGGCTCCAGAATCTCGAATTTATAAGATGAGCTTCTACATTCCACTTCTCCTCTTTACATTACTGACAGTAGCCAGTTCAAATACTCTTTCCCAATACATCTCCCTGAACGGGTCCTGGGACAAGTTCACACAAAATGACCACTTGAGAAAACACAAGAGACTATCCCACTACGTGATCACACTAAAACCCGGGACCTCAGCTCAGATCTACTGTAACTCAGAGGTCATGCTCCCCAAGCTGGATCTCTCCTACACCAACTCCACCCTCAGTGACGTTCCCAAAGAACAGCTGCTGATCGGACACCACCATCAGTTGAACGCGGTACAGAAGTGCGAGGTAAAGAAGCTGATACACGGACCTAAAGACTACTGGAGACCCTTCACAACCTGCACAGTAACAGCTAACTACTCGGTGCAGGATGTGTGGTGGGACTGTGGCTTTCAGTTCCCCAGCCGGACTAACATAAGAGTGGTAACCACACCTGCCAGAGCTCCATTCCACCACCCTGTCCCCCCTCTCACTCGGCACTTGGAGTGGTGGTGTTTGAGGGACCGGCACGTGACCTGGACTGCTGCTGGGCACTTGCTGTGGTTGTTCGGATCACATGTTAACACATCTGAACCTGATACCAAGAACAAGACGTCACTTGTTGAAAAGTCACGTGATCACAACATGTCTGTAGCGCACGTAGACCTGATAAAGCTGCTGGTAGTGGAGCGGTTCCCCAGCTGGGAGCTGGAACCAGGGGATCTGTTCGAGTGTAATGGCAGTGTCTGGAGATGGGCTGAGGATTACCCCTGTCTCAAGATGCTGCCTAACGGCTGGCCTGCTCTAAATCACTGTCATGGGTTTGATCGTGTTTTCATGATAATCGTTATTCTCATCACCTTTATCTTTATCTACTGTAATACTGTAGCCGTGCAGCATATTTACTACATAGCGAGACGAGCTGTTAAGAGGTACATCAAGAAAAAGAGAGGACCTTATGTTTCTGTGCCTATGATACCAAAAAACAATAAAATACCTTACAAAAATATACAGAATATCAAACTGTTGCAGGCAGACTATGATTATGATTATGTGACTAAATTATAATAACTCAGCCAAGTCACTTTGGATGTTATATTTTCGATGTTGTGAATGTACATGATTAAGCTGGGATAATTAATTAGCATAGAGCTGTCTTGCTGTCTTTTGATTGATTTGTTTACCAAGACCTCAAGACCTCTAAAAATACCAAATCATTGAGCCTCTAGCTCTGTGATGTATTCTGTTTGTGTTGAGTATCATTATGTAGTGAGTAATATGTTGTCAAGTTGTCATGTGGCAATGAAGATTCCAATTTTAAATGTTTCTATGATTTACTAGCATGAACAATATTTCCACCAAGCATTTTATTTGACAGCAGTATCTGAGGCAATTTCTCGAGCGATTTGTGTTGAGCACATACATTTACTTGTACCATGCAACATATTTTGCATTCTTAATTTCTTTACGATTATGCCATTTTTATACTTTTATAGTCGGTGAAGCACTATTTTTGGTCGTTAGATAAAAGCATAGTATGATGTACGAAAAGTCAGAAAGCGTACGAACAGAGTACATGTCAGAAAATAGAACTCAGACACTAAGGACAGATTGTAAAAACAGATGATCAGGATACCGTGTAACATTGTTTTGGCATTTTGTCAACTTAAAAAGTCAAATAATCTTCGCGGTTACTGTCAAATAAACAAACAGATCTCATAAAGCTGCCTTCGAACAGAATACTGACCAGAAACATAGCAGACTAGAGGACACGTTCGAAAGCAGTAACAGACATGATTTGAACAACAGAATTGGCAATTTACTGCAAATAATCGAGAAAAATCAAAATTGACAACTCTTCTAGTTCTCCAACAAACAAACTGTAAACAATTGCTTTAAACACACGACGATCCTATTGTTAACCAACTATAACAACTAATAACAGATAAAACTAAACACTTTTCCCCAGGAGGATACAGAATTAGATTGTTGTGAGATAGAGCCGGTAGGGAAACATCTCATACCGGGAGTGGAGATGGTAGCTCTTAGCAAACATTACGGAGGGAAACACAACCCTTACGCGCTCCGCAACCTTTCTCTCAAGCTATACCAAGGTTAGCAAACATTACGGAGGGAAACACAACCCTTACGCGCTCCGCAACCTTTCTCTCAAGCTATACCAAGGTTAGCAAACATTACGGAGGGAAACACAACCCTTACGCGCTCCGCAACCTTTCTCTTAAGCTATACCAAGGTTAGCAAACATTACGGAGGGAAACACAACCCTTACGCGCTCCGCAACCTTTCTCTTAAGCTATACCAAGGTTAGCAAACATTACGGAGGGAAACACAACCCTTACGCCCTCCGCAACCTTTCTCTTAAGCTGTACCAAGGTGGGGACTTTAGTTAGAGTTTCTTTTACATTTTAAACGATTGGTCATGATGTTTTGTTAACTGTCGTTTATGACTAATCTGAGGCTTCTTAAAATATTTGAGAGGCGTCAGGAAAGGTGGAAGAGAACCGCAGCTCAGAGATAACAAATGTATGATTTCCTGGTAAACGACCATTAAGTAAACGACCACGGAGCAACCAATGATTAAGGTCATTGGTTGCTGTTACACCGACCATTTACTAAAGTACTGATATCACAACTTCACAACTGACTGTGAAAAACCGCGCAACTTAATGACTTAAACGTCCTATAACAAGATAATCACACAATGATATCATACAACTTTTTTAACTTTGGAGTCTTCTGACATATAAAACCTTAGTTTTAATCTCTGTAACCTCCTCTTCAGGACAAGTAACAGCACTATTAGGACACAACGGAGCAGGTAAAACTACAACAATGTCAATACTAACTGGGATGATAGGACCTACCTCCGGACACTACGACATCAGATACGCTTCAGAGGTTAACTAAATAACTGGATAACAATTAACATTCAAACAAACGGACAAAATACAAATAAAAATACACGTCATGCTGATAGATAGAGAGAAGAGTTGAGAAGGGGTTTGGTTGTTAATGTTGTGGAGTGTCAGTGGAGTGTTAGTGGAGTGTTAGTGGAGTGTTAGTGGAGTGTTAGTCAGTGTTAGTCAGGCTGGATTAAGTTAGTGTGGGGCGCAATGCACTGCTTGTGGGTGCACAGTATGTATTGTAGCAAGAAAAAGGGTATTCCGAATGAGAAGAGAGAGTTATGTGTGCTGTAAAAAGCATTGTGTACTTTAGTGACTATTTATTAGTGTTTACTGAGTCAGCCATGGTGCCAAAGTGGTCAGTGTAACTCTGATATAATGAAATAAGGGTCGTGGAGCGGTGACATCAACTGAATTTTAATGATAATATTATTACTTACTGCATTACACGCAATATTAACGGTTACTAAGGGACAAGGGTCTCATAACACAAAACACTTACTGTCGATCGTTACGATTCATATCTCACGAATCTCTTGAAAATTTTAAAACAGTTTAATATCTTAGTTAACAAATCGATAAAATCAAACAGCCATTACATCTAAAGTTGTAATGACAATACTATTGCCCAGGAAGCACTAGACTGCCGAGACACAGTAGGAGTGTGTCCTCAACACAACGTGCTGTGGGATGAGCTGACTATTGCTGAACATCTGCTCTTCTACGGACAACTCCGGGGTATGAGCTATGATAAGGTAAGTGGCTAAGTGGAGGAGGACAACTCCGGGGTATGACCTATGATAAGGTAAGTGGAGGAGGACAACTCCGGGGTATGAGCTATGATAAGGTAAGTGGAGGAGGACAACTCCGGGGTATGACCTATGATAAGGTAAGTGGTGGAGGACAACTCCGGGGTATGAGCTATGATAAGGTAAGTGGTGGAGAGGTTCTTTGAGATTATTAATCGGCGTCTAACGTTTACCAACTGTTGATTTGATCGTACAATATTGTTTAGTTAAAACATTACAGTAAGATAGATCTCTAGTAATTATTGTTTATTGATCCTCTCTTTCCCCAGATAAACAGAGAAATGGAGAAGTTTATATGCGAAGTGGACCTCCCGCTAGAAAAGAGGAACTGCGAATCTAAAATTCTCTCTGGTGGAATGAAGAGGAAGTTATCAGTAGCTATAGCATTCCTGGGCAGCACCAAGACACTGATCCTGGACGAGCCGACAGCAGGGGTTGATCCTAAAGCTAGACGGGATATCTGGGATATGATCGTTAAGAATAAGAGAGATAGAACTATTCTTCTGAGGTGGGTTTATCCTGTTTCCTGCTTTGATAAGGAGTGTGTTGCTACCCTAGGGTATACTATAGTGTTTTAAAGTAAACAAACAACTGAGCTTAGAGATATCTCAAATTTCAAAAGTAGTTTATACAGAATGTAGAATTCATCTCGAATTACTCATCTCGCTGGAGACCATACTTGTAGCTGTCTGATGCTAGGTGAATGTAGTGAACACATAATGCCCATATAACTCTAATCTCCCCCCCCCCCCCCCCCCGGCCCCCCCCCAGTACTCTAACTAACCCCCCCCCCCCCCGGCCCCCCCCCCCCAGTACTCTAACTAACCCCCACGGTCCACCCTCAGTACACATCACATGGAGGAAGCTGACGTGCTAGGTGACCGTATAGCTATCCTCAGTCAGGGTAACCTCATCTGTTGTGGAAGTAGTCTCTTCTTGAAACGGCTCAGTGGCGGAACCTACTTCCTTACTGTCGAGATCAATGTGAGTTTTCAGTAGATACTATTGGACTTGTGTGTGTTGCTATGTGGCAAATAAGTATTGTAAGAGCAGTCTATAGTACAGTGTTATAAAGTTACTAAACTCTTACTCTAATTCAATATTCAATAGAATCTATTATAACTACATTACTACAAGTACACAGTACACTAAAATTTAATGAGACTCTAGTTTACAGTGGTTAATCTCAGGTTGGCACACCGCCAGAAACACTAGTTAAAATAGTGGAGGAGATATTCAGCTCTGTTTTCATCAGAAGTTCTAGTTCTAATCAGATAGTGATGGAGCTTGAAGCGTCTGATATGGACTTGTTCGAGAAGCTCTGTATATGTCTGGATGAGATGAAGAAAGCTAACGAGATTGCCAGGTATTTTATCCCATTCTTTGCAAAGCTCTGTAAAGCTGTAACTGTTTGTGCTATAATAATATTATGATGATCCAAAGTTTACGTGCACTCCAGAATGTTGTTATCATAACATTTTCTTGTGAATATGAAATAGTAACTCTCAGATCTCTAAGACCGTATTTACGTAGCGTTATTTTCTGGCCCTCCTGTATTAAAACGCAAATGATGAAACTTTGTCTTTTCAAATCTTTATTTAGAAAGTTAGAACGTGGCTCGATAATACTCGTCAGTCCTGCTTGTGGTAGATTTGAATATTATGAATAAATTGAATAAACATACGGACATGCAGCATGAATAGCCGTTCTTACCCGTGTGTTTGAATCTGCCAAATGGGGAATTAGTAGGCCAACTAGATTATGGGTAGTGTTGGCTGTGGGGGGCGACAGTGATTCTGCGATCTGAATATTCATCATTTGTGATTTGGTTAACCAAGGTTACAGACGCCTGGCAACGCTTCAAATAAGGTCTTTATACTCGGCCCTTTAGCAGTGACTGTATAGTGTGGTCCGTGATAGCAACCTTCGCTTCGTTTAGTTCAAAGAGTCCACAGTGGGGCTCCATGCTGACATTTAGCCTAAAAACGAGTTTTCCTAATGTTTTAGATTGTTGTAAATTCTGATAGAGAATAAATAACCGGATTCAATGCTTTTTAAATTAGCTCAAAATCTCGGTTGGGTCAAAATTTACAACCATTTGAAAAGCGCGCCTGAAAATAACCTGCCTGCACATGCCCAGAAACTCAATTTCACTGCCATTTTTGAGTCAGGCTGAGGTTCCTTTTGTTTTCAGTGTTTTTCAACTTTTGATTGATTGAACATGGATATAAGCATTCTTAGTACTGTTTAAGAAGAAAAAACCATGATTTCGGTCAATTTTGGATTTTTGGTAGCTAAAATTAGAATATTTTTCAAAAATAGGCCTTAAAATTTCATTCGCTGACCACAAATGGGTGGTAAAGTTATAAATGGCCCCATATGGCCCGGGTTTCATTATGTTTTCTATGTTTTCCCATAATTTTTCTAGCAGAACCCAGAAGATTTGGCTTCGGAACGCTTCGGAAAAAAAATTATGACCCATTTTTGGTACGAGCCTGAGGTGAAAAATCGCGTCAAAATAGCGCGAAAAATGAAAACTGATAGATTAAAAACTGATTTTTTCATTTATTTCATAGCTTTTTGGTGCACACTTCGATATTTTATGCTAATACCAGCAAAGTTCAATTGGAATAAGCAATATTTGGATGGAAAAATAGTGCATATGAGCCAAAAATAGCCAAAATCTGGCAATTTGAGCTCGGAAAATCCAGGGGCAACTCTGATTTCATAGGATTTTTCTTATGTTTTTGTCATATTGCATAGTTTTTATGGTTCTCCTTTCTGAAATACCCTTAAACAATCACATCAGCATGATTGATGACCATTTCCATACGAAAAAGCAGAAAAATGGGACAAAAACCGCTTAAAATTCGATGAAATCTTAAAACTGCTAGTCAAAAAAGATGCTTTTTGTGTGACAGAAAGTGCCAAATTTTCGAAAAAATTGATTTTTTGCCCAAAAAAGTAGTGAAAGTTGTCCAATTTCACTGAAATAAGTCATAATTGACGATTTAATCCAAATTGACACCACCAAGATGTGGCCAGAGGCATAAAAGGGCAAAAAAACCAAATGTCAGCATGCCCTTTACGCGAGCCCCACTGTGGAGTCTACACAACTTTATATCACTGAACATATCGTATAATACTATATTACAAGTACAAAGTTAGACATGCATAAAACACGTACTCAAATGCAGTTGAGTAACATTTAATTTTAAGGAAGAGTGCACAGCTCTGTGATGCAGGGACTAAAATAAGCTAAATCGACATAATTTATTGCATCTAGCACTACTAGCCTTGCGATAGCATCATAGAGTAATGAGTAATGAGTAAGGAGTAAGGAGTAAGGAGTAAGGAGTAAGGAGTAAGGAGTAACTAGTAAGGAGTAAGGAGTAAGGAGTAAGTAGTAAGGAGTAAGGAGTAAGAAGTAAGGAGTAAGGAGTAACTAGTAAGGAGTAAGGAGTAAGAAGTAAGGAGTAAGTAGTAAGGAGTAAGGAGTAAGAAGTAAGGAGTAAGGAGTAAGGAGTAAGAAGTAAGGAGTAAGGAGTAAGGAGTAAGGAGTAAAGATTAAGGTATAAACTTGAATCTCACAAGAGGTCACGCTGTGTCTCCTCAGTTACGGTATCAGTGCTCCCACAATGGAGGAAGTGTTTCTGAAACTGTCCTCCTCATCCCACCACGACACTAAGTGGCAGGACAACAACATTAGGCTGGCTAGCAAAGGAGTTGGTGACGTCACTGATCATGGTGATAATGACGTCACGCTCAATGGTGGTGACGTCATGACTAATGGTGACACGCGGAACGGTAGATTAGATACGATATTTGAAGATAATTCTACTAGTGCTACAAATCTAGATAAGGTTAGTGCTTTACTGGATGTACTTGACATATTATCAGGGGTCTCTGGCGTTATCGAAAGCGTGCATGGCATGGCTTGAGCTATACTCCTTCTTTTTGATTCTTTTATTGGGGTAATTTATCTCAATTTGAGTTTGCTGACTCATAGTCAGAGCTTACTATGCTGCTTACAATTTCAATCAAATTCATGTCCACATTTCGTCACTTTAAATGTTCAATACTTTAATGTCTTGATCATTGTGCTCATTGATTTGCATGTCAGAACGGTAACAAGGATGAGAATTCTGTTCACTTCAATCAGAAAGCTGACACGTCAAGTGATGACTCTCCTGTTGATTTAACTGAGACTGATGAGCCGGGTAGTACTGATTTTACGTACAGACAGGTATATCAGGCTTACTGTTTAATTGTAATGTTGGTTAATTAAAATATTTGTTTAATTATGTTTAATTATTTAATTTATATGTTTTAGTTGATTTAATTTTGTGATGGCTAGCTGGCGTATATTATTAGCTGAATTATCATAAAATATGGTATTGCTGTATTCGCATAGTTTAATAATCAATTTAGATTATTCAACAAATCAAACAATAAAGTAACTGATCTGTCCAAACCACCTCAATGTAACACAACCCCCAGATGCCAAGTTTTGGTTCGTCCAAGTCGCCCCTAGTAACAGGGGGAGGTGACGGTATTTACAATACTGGGTACAGACTCTACTGGCAGCAGTTCACTTCACTGTTTATTAAGCGCTGGCATCACGGCAAGAGGGACAAGAAGGGAGTGTTCGCTCAGGTAACACTCATTGCAACATGTAGCTACTCAAGACATGTAATTCAATTAGCTCACAAGTTGGAAATTAAAATATTTTATTAAGAGCCTGACTCGACTTTACCAACAAGATAATATCCCGAAGGAGTAAATAACTAGTAACTAATTAGTACTAGTAACTAATTAGCAACCAGTTAGTAACTGAAACCCATTTTCAGGTGGTTCTCCCGGCATTATTCATAGCAGCTGCGATGTCTATAAACGTTGCAGTACCCATGAACTCTAACTACAAGCCACGTGTTCTCTCCTTCTCCATGTTCCAGACTCCTAACTACATTCCATTCGAGATGAGGACCCCTGACACTAACGTTAGTTAATTAGTTCATGTGAGATTTGAGATTTATTATGTCCATGTATTAAACTATTAAAGTGTGCGGAAATGAATAACGTTCCTTAAATGTCTTAAAAATTTACATTAAAGGTAAATTAGGTACAACAAAACCCTAGCGGTATGGAAAAATAAACATGGCTTTCATAATGCTGATTCTATTACACTTACATGACAGTAATTGTATAACTATATAATAACAGTTATTACATTACAAAGAGTTGCAGTAACTCAGTGCCCCCCTACCTCAGGTAACCCCGTTCAACTCCTCACTACTCCGTGAGTTCGGGGTAACATACGGGGACTACTTCCTGCGAGAGGTGCCAGCTGCGCCGCGCGAGATCTCCTTTGAAAGCTCTGACACCTACCCCTCACGTGTTTATGAAAGTGGTGGTGAGTGGAAAGCAGAGCGCGATTTTGTTCCTCAGTATCCCACCTGTGATGTGAGATATAGGGTGAGTGATTATTTCATAGCTTGAATTTCTGAGGAATTTTAAAATTCTATGACAGTATGACTCAGAAGTTGAACTACCGGCCAATATGACATAATATTATATTCTTCCAATCTTAAAAGTGAATTTTCAAAATAATCAGAATATTCTGGAGCTATTCTTGACTAACACAGCTATTATATATTGTGTTCCCCTTACGGCTTTACATCTCCACCATCAAGTCTGTTATAATAAGTAGTAATAGAAATTTATGTAGGAACAAGAAGTGCATGTTGCCTAGTAGGCAGTGTATGTGATTATTAAAACTCACTCTGATAGCTTAATCACATCAACTCTTCAAACTGCGTTGAATCACACATACACGGAGACTTGTAGATATTACGTTAGAAGCCACCTACACATTGCTCGGTCACTATTACATTATTCTGAAGAATATTCAGTTACAGCTGCACTGTGGGGCCGATGTTAACACTCATTATCACTAATTTGATTCATTGGTGAGCTGTTCTATTTCGTGAAATAATAAACGAAGCGATGGCTCTACAGTCTACACACTGAGATCCTGGAGAGGTTCGCTGTTTATCAGACATCAGTCTCATGATAAGATAATGATTCCAGGGATAATATCCGGTAGTAGAGACTAGGTAGGACAAATGAAACTACTGTTTAGGAGGAAACGCGAGCTTTCAGTGCGCTACACTCTCAATCAGTCTACACACTATGTAATGATAATGTGAAGTATAATTATAGTTACGACGCACGAGGTAACATGAAACAAATTGTTGTATTATTTGACATTCCATTTCAGATAAACAACTGGTCAGGACCAGTTCCGTTCCCAACCGGAGGATTTGAAACAGCTTCTGGTGATATACTGGCCAATGTAACGGGGAATAATCTTACTAACTACCTGCTTATCACTCAGCCTGAATATAAACTATCAAGGTGAGAGTTGTTCGGTATTTTGGAGATTTGTGTTATTTGAGTATTTAGGTTTGAGATTGAGGCTGACAATGAACACATAGATTTAGAAGCGAAATTGTAAATTTGATTAATGGAATGTAGAATTCAATGAACAACCAAAATATTCGTACGTATAATATTACATTTAAATAATTACCAAACTTGATTATTTTGTAAACCACTTATATATTACCACAATATATAATATATTACTTGGATGAGGATATTAACGTTATATTCTTCTTAAAAAGTTATTAGTGTTGCTATCCTAACATGCATCTCTTGAAGGTACACGGCGCTAACGTTTGACGATAAAAGAAGTGATATTATACCTGAGTACGATTCAGCCTACTCTGCTAAACGAAATATAGGTGAGTTTGTAAAGCTCTCATTCATGTTGTACTGCATTTTTATCAGTAAAGTGAAGTAGGAACTGTCTTCTTCACCTTCACCTTTTCTACACTGGGCAACTATTTAATGGTTTTTACTTTTTCTTTAGACAGAAAATATTAACCATTACAGCAGACAGCTGTCGGACAGTCTCTTCATAGATTATAACGGTCCATACTGTTTATTTACATTTCTTTGTTTCTGAGTGAGCCTCACTGAGCATCTCTCAATGTGTTTGCATTCATTAAAATTATTTAGTACACGTTACAGTCACACATTACACATTACACATTACAGATTACACGTTACAGTTACACATTACACATTACACACGTAATGCTGGAGTTCTCCGTAGTATTTGCAAATGACACGTCATTGTAACACAACAATATGACATGGTGGGAGTTACAGCACGATGGTTTTTTGGTTTCTTATATGGCCAAATAATCATGAAACTGTATCCTGTACCCTAAAGGCACTCGAAACAGAAAATTATCCTACTATTCATCTTTCATATTGTATAAACAGGGGCATTATTTTAAAGATTAATAATAATTGACCGTTTGAACCAGAACTACCATTTCATAACTCACACCCCTCTTACAACTGACAATGCCTAATTCACTGACTAATGTGAGTTATGCGCTCACATTACAACTATTACTCCTTCTACAAAGAACCAGGCAGCTCTAATTCTAGCCTCCTATTATTCTAACAGTCCTAAGTTTGGCCCCTATTATTTCAAAACCCCGGCCCTCTTACAATACGCTTCAGCACATGCTGTATTGAGAGCAAAATCGCACCTGCGCCTTTATCCAGTGCTCTTTCTCTGTTCAATCTATTATAGTTAGTGGGTGTATACGCAGGTGTCTTATCGACATCCAATCAAAAACATCCACATCATACCCATGTGAGCCGTGAGGCTTGGAAGTTGGAATGTTATCACCGTGCAAGTGTATGAGTCGTTGTCTGCCACGTTTTTACTGGATGAGTAAACTGAGTGATGAGATAAAACTATAAACAATGATATATAATTGAACTAAACTGATCTGTAAAAGCCCCTTAAACATTCGGGGGTAAGATTAGCCAGATGAAGAGTATAAATTGTAATTTAAAAACTCTTGAACTGGAAATATTCGCAGTTAAAACGTGGTATCTGAATAAAGGATACCATGCGATGCCAACTGCGCTGAACGCAATGAACAATCTACAGCTAAAGAATGCAGGGTCTAAGCACCATATCACTGTAGCAGCACAGGTTTGTGGAATGGCATCTGTAGATAATTCGCTGTAAAATTCCCTCAACCATATTTCATTAAACTTGTTAAATAAGCTCTAATAGACTACTAACCATATATTAATTACTTTTGAGTTTTTGATTCTATTGAGTGTGGCACAACTAACAAATCACCGCACAGGCAATGAACAACACAGCCACAAAGACAAGTCACGAGTACATCCAACAAGGGGTGCCCATAGTTATCAGTATCTTCATTATCGTGGGTCTGAGTTTTGTGCCCACTAGCTTCGTGGTGTACTTAGTGGCGGAGAGGAGTAGCAATGCTAAACATCTTCAGTTCTGTGCAGGTTAGATGAGATAAGAGCATGAAATAAGATAAGATAAGAGCAGTACATGATGCTAAAAAATGTTCATCAATCACAGTAATGAGTACACTGTTAAATCATTAAATGTGTTGTCATCTTTTCTTACATTTAGTAGATGTCACCAAGTAAATGTGTTGTCATCTTTTCTTACATTTAGTAGATGTCACCAAGTACTGCAATCTACAGATAAAGCTATTGATCCTAATGTGTCACTACCTATATTAAATATTAGATTAGTTAGTGATATATTTAGTTAAATATTAGTTTAATATTAGTTTAATATTAGATTAGTTAGTAATATTAGTTAAATATTATCATGTACCAGGTGTGGGAGCAGAAGTATACTGGATAAGTAACTACGTGTGGGATATGTTCAACTTCCTTCTTCCTACTTCAGTCTCCATTATTGTCTTCTACGCTTTTCAGCAGGAGGCGTTTGTTAATGTTCGTATGATGGCTTATTATAGATATTATTACACTTTCAAACCTTGAGCTTGGGTACTTTACAGATTTGTGTTTCAAATGAGACCTTCTGCAAAGTGGTCGTCACCAAATATTACCAAATATTACCAAATATTACCAAATATTACCAAATATTACCAAATATTACCATGAATATTACCAAATATTACCAAATATTACCTAATATTACCAAATATTACCAAATATTACCAAATATTACCAAATATTACTAAATATTACCAAATATTACCAAATATTTACGATTTTATAAATACCATGATCTAATAACTCGCTACATTGATAAAAACGATAAAAAGCTAGTCCACAACAATTATTAAAATATTTTAAATAATCTATTCCAGGAAATAGGAGCAGTGGTGGTGTTGATAATGCTGTACGGTTTAGCGGCCACGCCCATGTTCTATCCTGCATCCTTCATATTCAAGTAATCATTATTTATCTTTACAACATGAGAGTGAGTTGATGTTAATTGCATGCTCAGATCAGTTATTCACGTACACAATATATTTGGTTCACTGCCAAGCAATACTATACAGTATACACGATCCGTGCTGTTTGTTGACGTGTACATAAATTTTTATACATTTTTAAGAGAATATGACTACCAAGATATTTATAATCATGCATTCGAAATGCATATTATACGTGTTATATATTATGACTAGGACTAGCGAGACACATTGCGTACTTAGATGATTTCGGTGTCCTACAAAATTCTGTACATACATCGAAGTGCATACTCAACTACACACTGCTACTAAAGTAATACGATAATGGGTTGATTTAACACACATTTTCAACACACAATATTGGTACCAATTATGGTGCTGTACTTAGAAGTCTAATTCCCTAGGGAGGCGATACCTTGGAGAAATAGAGTATACAGAACTTTTGTCGCGGCGCGCTTCTTCTGGATCCTTGAACAATCGTGTGAAGGGGAGGCCGACAAAGGGGGGCCCTCCATTATTAGGGGTCAGATCATATGACGTATAATTAGTGATGTGACGTATAATTAGTGATGTGATCCATCAGCAGAATTTAATTGACCCAGAAATGAGCTAGATATAGGGTAGAGTTCACATGTCAATTCTGTAAATCATAGCTGTACATTAAGAAGTAAACATGATCTGACTGCTCGACTCGTAGATCACATAAGGGACGGGAGCTCTTGCTAAAGGGGGTTCTCGTATCAAGGGATGTGAGACGTACGTGCCAAAGGCATGCAAGGAGTCTGAGCCGATCAAGTGTTCTTACTTCTTAGGTATATATACTGAAAGATGAAAGACAATAGTATCGCATTCTTACAGAACCTCATATCAGAAGCCCTGGTAGAGACGTCGACTGCAGTGAACCAGACTCTCCCTAACATCATGTCCTTGGCCAGAGTGATTCAACGTTCCAGAGCTGCAGCGTCAGGATCCTCCCAACACCAGGAGGCTACTACAGAGGACTTTACTCTCCCTCCTACATGTACTTCCACCAGAAGAGATGAACCCTTTGTCCTCTTTGATGGTTCTACAGATCGGGGAGTCAGAGTCATCGTATTCGCCACGAGCAGGATCATGAAGACACTGTCTATCCACTCAGACTGGATAGCAGACGGCAATTTCTATGTATCACCGAAGATCTTTCCTCAGTCTTACACCATCCACTCAGTTGTAGACAACAAATGTGTGCCTTTAGTTTATATTTTAAGTGGTGACAAGAAAGGGGACACTTATGAATTTGTTTTAGATGTTATTAAGCACTATTTTGACCAGCATTGTCCGGTATTGTCAGTATTCAGTATTCAGTAAATTTGATTAATTATCCTATGAAAAAATGTCTATTGACTTGTTAATTTAAATCAAAAGTACGGAGTTAAACTGGGCTAGATATAGGGTAGAGTTCACATGTTCTGTAAATCATAGCTGGTGGATCACATCACTAATTATACGTCACATCACTAATTATACGTCATATGATCTGACCCCTAATAATGGAGGGCCCCCTTTTTGTCGTGCAGCCCGTGTGAAGTATGAGTTCATTCTGAATTCGCTGCATATGATTATCAATTAGGTTATCAGTTGTATATTTAATTAATTAATTACCAATTCCAGGATCCCGTCAGCAGCGTACGTTACCTTGCTGTGTTCCAATCTGTTTGTGGCTGTTACTACGAGTTACTCAGTCTTTACATTGGAGCGGTTCCCAGAGGATGAGACCCTAACTATGGTATATTACCTAATTACCTAATTACCTAATGGAACATTTTTTGAAACCAATTTGTGAAATTGTTTGGCCGGTACTACAATTTAATCCGTGCCAAACTCTTGATTAAAGTCTATTTTAAGTCTAAACATAGATAAATATACATATTTTGATCCCCTTTTTCCTTTAAGATTGTGTTATCATGATTGTCTGAATGCCCTAATTTCAGTACGCTAACGTACTAGATGTTGCATTCCTAGTGTTCCCTCCCTACTGTCTTGGTAAAGGATTTGTAGATCTCACCTACAAATATGTCATGACTGTTATTTACGAATCTATGGGTATCAAAGCTAATGGTAAGTGTCATAGTAACGTATTTTGACATTTTTACATAAAAATGTTTGATTTTAATAAATAAATAGCCAAAGTACTATTATTGAATAGCCAACTACGATTTTACATTTTACAAACGATATTCATATTTTTTGTTCTGTTTTGAGTTCAGGCTAATTTAGGTTTTCTCCTCAGTATAAAACATTCAAAACAGTAAGAAACTACAATACAGAAACATCACAGCATTGTAACATGCATACCTCAAATCATAAATTGTTAAAACTTCTTACATGCCACTTCTTTCATGCCATTGCTAATTTCCAACTTAGAACTTGGGCAAATAATCTATTGTTCAAATAATCAGTTAATTAACTAATGATCAGTTAATTGGTCGATGTTTACAGGTAAGTTAGTAGAGAACGCATGGGGCTGGCGCTGTTTAGGAAGATACATCTGTGTTCTGCCTCTTACAGCTGTGTTCTGGCTCTGTGTCACCATCGCCATTGAGAAGTGAGTACTGTTTGTCAAATATCTTAGAAATGTCAAATATCTAAGTTATGTCACGTTGAATATCTATGTTGAATATCAGACAAACAGATTTTACATTACGTGATGGAGAGATGGAGAAATGTATATTGTACATAGTGTATATTGTACATAGTGCACACTGTGGAATGAATCTTGATCGTGCTAGATTTGTGCTAGATTATGAACACCGGAAAATTTTAAAATACCTTATTGAAAAAGAAGTAGAAAAGTCGGCAAACCTGGTGTTAAACATTCCATCAGAGTAAAATAGGCAGCATCTTCCTTGTTAAATTTCTTGTTGTTAGACATCTTACAATGTCCCTTAGCACCACCACCATTGGGTACAAACGACACAGATTTGACATTCCCTTCTTCTAATGCGATTGCCCGAACAGCCAGTTCACAGTGCTCAATAGTTTCCACTGGTAATATCTCGTTAACTGTGCTCACTACTCCCCGTCCCCTCTGCCAGCATGATGACTTAGAGTTTGAGGTATGAAATAGGAACAGGATCAAGGAATGTAACAGATTATGTAGTCGAGCCATGCGCAGGAAAACTATATCAAAGAAAACGGTATGGTGTCCGATTCGAGAATATAGCCCTCATCAATTGTAGGCACTCAATTTTGTTACCGTGGTGACATGGATTGGGATAATGACTCTAAACATGCGCAGTAACTGTTAGAAATGAGATTTGGTTCATTACGTTACCCCGTGTCGTGGTCGACATTGTCATGGTCACTTGGTCAGTGGTTTATTATTAAATAGTTAGGAAGTGGTCACATGGGGTGCTATATCAATTGTCCTGGGCTCTATAATTGTTCTTCTTATCATTCAACCATACAGCTGCTGGTTATATCAGAGTAACAAGAGTAAGCGTACAGGCTCACCCCCCCCCCCCTCACTCCCGTCCCCCCTCTCTCTTACTCCCCCCTCTCTCTCACCCCCCCCCCCTCTCTCTCACTCCCGTCCCCCCTCTCTCTTACTCCCCCTCTCTCTCTCACCCCCCCCCTCTCTCTCACTCCCGTCCCCCCTCTCTCTTACTCCCCCCTCTCTCTCTCACCCCCCCCCTCACTCCCATCCCCCTCTCTCTTACTCCCCCCCTCTCTCTCTCACCCCCCCCCCTCTCTCTCACTCCCGTCCCCCCTCTCTCTTACTCCCCCCCTCTCTCACCCCCCCCTCTCTCTCACTCCCGTCCCCCCTCTCTCTTACTCCCCCCCCCTCTCTCTCTCACCCCCCCCCCTCTCTCTCACTCCCCCCTCTCTTTCACTCCCCCCCCCCTCCCCCCTTTCTCACTTCCCCATATCACCCGGCCCCCTCACTGGTAGAGATATCCTCCTAACACCCGAATAGTGAGCAGCAATCCATTTTGTTCCTATTTGTAAAACCATTATAATCACTCAGGTACACGCTAAGGAAGAGACGGGTTATAAGAACTCTAGATTCAGATGACAGCGAGGTTAACAATGATGTTCACTTAGAACAGCTCAGAGCCAAGGAGTCAAAAGATGATATACTGAATGTTAATGGTGGGTTTTTGAGACATTTTCATGGCATATTTAAAGGGAGTTTACAGGTTCTTTGCTTATGAAATAGAAACTATAACTTACTACTTTACTACTTTACTACTTACTATTTAACGTTATTTGTTTCAGGGTTAACTAAAAGATATAAGACCTATTCAGTGCAGTACTTTAGAGACCTTTTGAGACGCAGGCCGACCGCTAAACATTCAAACGTTGCTGTAAAGAACGTCAGTTTCGGTGTCAAAAAGGTGATTTGCAACTTGAATTATTGAATCATTGCTCAATTACATGAATTTAGTCAGGCATGGCTCTATAGGGGGGGTGCGGGGGGGGGGGTGCGCACCCCCCCAGAAAAAAAATCCCAAAAATAAATTTTAGGGCAATTTTACGCTAAAATCAGCTAATTTTAAAGATTTTCAGGTTTTTTTTCTAAAAAATTTTAAATTTTGATTAAAAAACTTGATTAATATTGAACACAAGTTTATATTACAAAATTGCATCCATATATTTACCGTGTCGATTAACCAAGTTCAAGAGGACTATAGCTCCTACCAGCGCTGAAGCAGAGCGCAGCTTCAGCACCATGAATCGTGTGAAGACGCCGAAGCGGTCCAGGCTGAATGACGAGAGGACAAGCGACCTTACCCTTCTCAGTCACGAAAAGGAGCTTGTCAAAGCTATAGACAGTGCTGTCATTATTGACAAGTTTGCTGAGAGTAACCGCAAAGTTCTGTTGAATTGAACAGTCCCAGTGTCAATTATGTTTTAATTGTTATTAAAATATTTTTACCTTTATTTTCACATTTAAAACATTATGTTTTATTGAACTCTTCAAGTTAATTCAGACACTTTCTGGTAAGGTTATTAGCTTCTAAAAACCCAAAATTTTCCGGGGGGCTTCGCCCCCCTAGACCCCCCAAAAAGGGGGCTCCGGCCCCTAGCCCCCCGCTAGGGGCTGCGCCCCCAGACCCCTGCCGCAGCGCCTTCGGCGCTGTATGAGAGTCTCCTTGGTGCTTCGCACCAAGTTGCACCCCCCCAAGAATAATCGGCTAGAGCCATGCCTGAATTTAGTTATTTGGTTCAACACAAATGCAAATTTTAAGCTGTCTGGGGATTTTGAGTTTAAGCTTCGGAATGACGTGTTGAGAAATTTATCTACATTTCTGAGATAACGAATATTTAGGTGATACAGTCTAGGTTGTTAAATATTTTTTATTACATATTATTACAAAACTACGTATTTTTTGTTTAAAATTAGACGTATTTAACAACCTTGGTTACAGTAAGTAGTAAATATCTCACAATCATCACATTCTCACAACAACACATTCCTCACAACAACACATTCCAGGGAGAATGTTTTGGACTGCTTGGAATTAACGGAGCCGGTAAAACCAGCACATTCAACATGTTGACTGGTGCACTGAGTGTCACTGCAGGCGACGCGTCTGTTGGTGGTTACAGTGTCGTTACTAATCTTCACAAAGTTCAACAGCTGTTGGGATACTGTCCCCAGTTTGATGCTCTTATTGATTCGTTAGTCCTGATTGAGTTTACTTCCCACTACCTTACACTTATTCTCATTACCTTGGCCTTATCGGAATTTTACTCTGTGGTCTATTTAATTTAGTAAGCTGCACAATATCCAGTAATAATTTATGCAAATTTCGCTCTTATAGGTTAATCTTCCGTAGAAACGGATATTGACCTTTCGTAATTTCAAACGGTTGTCTTGTTTTGTGTTGCAAAATTTTATTTATAAATATAATTTATTAATTTATAATAATTGTCACTAGGTTAACTGGTCGGGAGATGCTGACTTTGTTTGCAGGACTGCACGGTGTGAAGAACCCTACAAACTCCGCAGATAGCTACATCAAACAACTAGGAATTCAAAAGGTACCCTGAACATGTAACTTAGCTAAACAGTAAACACTCCTTATAATTTGATCATCCCAGCCTTATTACGAATAACTCGTGTTCTGTGTTACACAGTAATCTATTTATTCCCTTGTGACACCTCATGTATTTGCAGTACAGTAATATGCAGTGTCACAAGTACAGTGGGGGTAATAGAAGGAAACTGTCTGCAGCGATAGCTTTGGTTGGAAGTCCTGAAGTGCTCCTTCTCGTATGTTTACTTAATTTGTTTACACGTTGTTTGTTCGTTGGAACGCGCGAACGCCAAACGGGTTTACATTGGAGTTTGTACAATAAATGCGAAGAAAAACTAGTGATAGGTGCGCGGCGCGTCATGTTATTTGGATTTTGATAATAATAGATCCATGCGATTACAAAACAATCGACAAAACCCAATTGAAAACAAATACAAGTAATGTCCTTATCTTGATCAATAAAAAGTAATAGTCGAAGCCATTGCGACTCTTCACTAGATATCCAGCGAAGACGGAGGACCCAGACGTGACAACAGTTTGACAGTGTATGGGCTAGCGACGGTATAGACTATGGAATTGCCTAGCGTGTCTTGAATTTGTCTTACAATTTCTGAATGGTAATATTATCGTATTTACAGGACGAACCTACTGCGGGGATGGATCCTGGAGCTCGTCGCCAATTGTGGGGAGTAATCAGAGCTGCTAAACGTGTTGGTACCAGCATACTTCTAACAAGTCACAGTATGGGTGAATGTGAGGTAATATTATACAATATCACGTCATCAATATTACGTCATCTACTTTCTAGTTCCCACACTGAAACAGTTATTGGTTTTGTTCCTGAGTTATTATATCGCTTTACAGCATATTCTATGATTGCATGGAAATATACTTGACGGCACTTTATTAGGGAAAATTTACTTAAATCATCAATAACTACAGGTGTTGTGCGACAGAATTGGTATCATGTGTAAAGGTCGACTACAATGTGTTGGCACCCCACATTACCTTAAACAGAAGTGAGTTTTAAACTTTTAATGTCAAGGTAGAAGTTTTAATGTTGAGTGTACAAAACAGGTTCTATAACCTTCACATTGAAATGGTATATAATTGTTGTTTAATAACGCACTCACTATGTCCTAACTGATAACCCAATATTTACTAAAACCACAACCAGGTACGGGAGCGGCTATACCGCCACAATAAAAACAGGAAACGTTGGCGTGCTGATAGCACGGTTAGAGGAGGAACTAACAACTCCAACACTACTAGAACATCATCACAATATGGTTATCTACTCCATCCCCCAGCATTCCTCACTCGCCCCCCTCTTCTCAGTCTTATCTCGGCTCCGAAAGGTTTGTTTGAGTGCCCTGTTTTTGATTTGCTTGAGAATAACTTTTCACCCGGCGATTGACAAGCTCAATTTCTTCAGGGATCGTTCACATATAAAGTAATGATTGAGGGGAGGGGGAGGAGAGGGGGTTCTAAATCATTACGCTAACTTTTAAAGGGTGGTTTTAAAATGACGGCCTAGAAGTAATGATATAATATTTGAACGGTCTCTCAACTTTAAGGAGGGGTTAGTTGAGGACTATTCGGTGTCCCAATGTTCGCTCGACGATGTCTTCGTACGAGTAGCTAGAGACGACACGATCCCTATGATCTGATGTCTCATTGGTAAATCAACGAGTTACGACTCTGTACACAAAGCATCCAGTTTTATTTTGCTATGTGTGCCGCATGTTTATATACGTCTCCAGCCGCTGGTTCCAGTAAGAGCCTTATTATTTTTGAGTCCATCATTCTTATCACTCTTTTCTAGGTAGTTATATACTAGGTAGTAAACTTTTATTTTATGACATTCCGCCTATGATCCGATTAACGCGATAGTTAGTTAGTAGTGAACATACTGAACCTGGTCGATAGGAAAGTTTGCAGGCAAAATTCAAATATTTCTCTGTATTTGTGACAAATTTCTCATGGCAAGTAGATTTTTAACTTTATTATCTTCAATCAGTTAAAGGATTATCAGTAGAATAAATTTTAATGCATCACTGAAGAATGCAAAGAATAATGTCTATGGCATGGTTTATATATTGATATGTTTTTTAAATATTGAAGACTGCGAAGAAGAAGTTTTATAGTTTCTGTTTTTCTCGTATGGTTTATTCTTTTCTGGTTTGGTTTATGCTTATATATAATATATAATATTATTTTCAATGTTCATACAGCATTGGATAATTCAACAATAAATTCTATGGTTTATGCTTTTTTTTATTTACAAAAAAATCGTTTTTATCTTTGATAGCTGGCCTTCTAAATGTCTCAGGAACTTGTCTTTTTATTACGGAAAAAATGTTTCACGTCTTCAATGGCTCTATAAAGGAATTAGTTGTCCCTGGTCTGAAATTAACACTAACTTTTACTGCAGGAAGATGTCTGTGAGGACTACTCCATATCCCAGTGTTCTTTGGAGGACGTTTTTATAAACTTTGCTCGCGACTCTGAACTATCACGTGATGATGATGATGATGACGACATCAAGGCTCAACTCAGCCCCCAGATACAGACCAAAACTCCTAATAATTACCTTCGTAATGATTTTAAAGTTTTGTGAACAATAATTGGTATATAATCATGTAGAGAATTATACATAGAGCGCGCTGTATAATGTATAGTGTACAGCTGTATAATAGTGTGCAGTGTAGCTGTATAGTGTACAGTATAGTGTAGAGCGTGCTGTAAACTATGTAGTTGTACTATACAGCGCGTTGTATAATGTAGATAATATTAATATAGTTAGTATTTTTCTTTTTATTGCAGATATTGGAGCAGGACGGTAATTTATTAGTCGAAATTAATCTTGAATCTATTGTTATTATGATCTGTGTGTTGCAAACTTGATATTTTTATTATATTAATGGTTCGGAGCGCGAGATATTGGCTGCTGTGATGTTATTCTTTTAGAATTACTAAAAGTGAAACTTTTCAATGTTTTTTCTTTAATCTGCGTAAGTCCCAACTATCGAAAAACATAATTGCAAGCATTGGGTCACAGCAGCTAAAATAAAAATTAATTCCATGGAACGATATTATTTCAAAATTGTTTCAGAGTTAATTTATAATTTGTGGGATCACATTTGTTCGGTTTGCTCGAACATTACGTAGATTTTTTGCCATTATAACATATAAGGAATTTCGATGTTAATAACGTAGTGAAATTGTCCAGATTTAGATAATTTTGACGACTTGAACTTATTTACTCGCTAAATTAAAATATCTCCATAATTAGAGAATTCCCAAAAAGTTCGAAAATGTTAGTGATCCTCTGACCCACGTTTTCGAGTTAAAAACAAGTTGTGAAACTGGAGCAAAGGAATGTAAATTATATTTTGTACGTGCAGAATACGTCTTTTTGGTAGGTAGGTAGGGTTTAAGTAAATTCATGATATATGTTGTCCTGACAAAGTTATGTCTATGATGATTGTGATGTAAAATAGCTGAAGCAGATGATGGTTTGTTTCACGAGAACTCATAAGATGTTTAAATAATTTGTTATAGTTTTTCAGTTTTAATTCTCCTTACTGGAGACATAAAATAACGTATATAATTTCTCATTATACTTATAGTCATATAATTCATGATAATCCTGTGTACACTGTACCTGGCAAAAATAGTCCCGCTCACATAGTCGGCTCTCTGAGATTTTACAATTTAACTCGCTAGACCCTAAATGACAAAATTGACTCTCAATAAAACTAAGTATTATGTCATATGTATTACTATTACTGATTACAATTTTATAACGTCGATGAAATGGAACAGAATCAAGGATCGGCGGTGAAAGGGTGCATCCTGTGCATGCGGAGCAGTTGTACACCAGGCTGTTAAATTCGCCAAATTTTCGTCAAAAAGTACGCAAGTTTTCAAAAGGTACGCGAATAATTCGCCAATTTAGTTTTACAACTTCAAGTTTTAATTTTAGGGCGGTTAAATTCGCCAAAAAATACGCGGAAAAAACAGTTTTAGTTTTACGTAGGCTTTTACAACGGCTAATTTACAGATTTACCCTCACCATAACTCCGATCAGCTATCCATAACCCTATAACCCGAGCGCAGCCCTAAACAATCGAATTCATGTTTAACTAGATTGTCATGTCACGTGCCCAGAACAGTTTTTTGGGATGCGATCATGATTAATTACTCTTCACTCGACTGTCACGTGACTTTTTTAACACTTCCTCTAGGTGGCTCTGAATGACTATTCGAAACCCTAACCCTTTAATCTGATCCCAAGCTGACACTACCAACCCTAACCCTAACCCAATCCCTAACTGAAGCATATAGTATTGATTACTGAAACCCTAACGAGAAATTAGACCAACTTCCTTATAGTTAGTTATATGGTGATATCACCATATAACTATATCATCATTATATGGTAACTCTCCATCATATCTACTAATCCTACTTTTGCTTCAAAAGCCGCGCACCATCTGCAAATATATATGGCACCTAAACGAAACTCACTGATCATTGCAAAAAGGTATAACAAATTTGGTACTGTGAAAATTCTCACAGTCTCTACTTTTAGAAAACATTCATGGTACAAAATTTTTTTAAATCCGACAAGTTTATTTTTATCGTGCACCCCCTAGTTATAACATATAAATCTACAACGCCTGCCGCGCGCACAAGTGCGCGGCCATTTTGCAATTTTTGTGTGAAATCGTGGCTAAATTGATTTTATGAAGGAGCACAATTCAAAAATTCGAATGCCATGCAACCAACACGTGCGTATGTTTAGTTGGGTTGATATACCATATGTTTGATGTTTTGTTTTCATTGATACATTAAATTATATATTGCAATTCAGTTTACGATCATTTGAGATGGTTCGTATGTGCCAGTCGCTCATAGTGACTTTGCTACTTCTGAATAAGATAACTACAACTTCCGGCAATGCGGATGATTGTTACCTCCCCGAAGAGATAGAAAATGGGAAGCGTATAGAGTACTCCCATAATGAAGCACGTTACGAGTGTAATATATTTGACGGTTATAAACTAATGCCTGCGAGTATAGTTAAAAGTGACGGCTGGGTTAAGTGTGTTGGTAATGGAAATATAAAACCTGACTATCCCTCTTGTGAACAAAAATTGAAACGCATCGGTGATCTTCCTAAATCAGTCTTGGAAGTAAAACAATTTTTGTCGCATGGACCAGTGGGGAAAGAGTCCCCCCATCTTGGTGAGTAGCTATTCAATAAAAAAGGAAATAGAGTTCTGTTCTATGAAAATAAACTTGCATTATTCAGTTCTAGTAGTAGTAACATGCATCATTTTGAATTTGTATTTGAAACTATTCAGTAATTTTGTGTCTAACGTTTAACTAGACTTTACATAGAATTAGAAATTATCAGTATAACATTGGCTGAACCGATATTATTCTACAGCACTAAACTCTTCCAATTGATTTTTTATCGTTCGTGTTGTTACACTTACATAGTATGTATTGCGGTAATACAAGCACTTCATTTCAGGCGAGGCGTGCCCAGAAGATTACGTCGTGATACGTGAAGGCGATGACGAACGCTCGACGGAGAAAGTTTGTAAACAGTGTCCTATGGGAATGTACAAGAGTAAAATACGAGAATGTGCAATGTGCGAAAACAACATGATGTCGATATTTGGAGCAACCGGAGAAGATCAATGTTTCAAACGTTAGCTAGTTTTTAGATAAATGCTAGGTCGAATAGCGTCATAGGTGATAAATGAGATTTTAGACTCCTTAATAAATTCGATCCAAACAATGACGACCTAATGCTTACTGACTGATAATCCTTGAATTGTCCTATTTAATCAATTAATTAATTAATTGCTCATAAAAGTATTTTCCAGCTAGACCAAATATCCAGCTTCTCACTAAGGAGATGAAAGAAATCGATGAAAACTTTAAAGAAAATCCTTGTAAGATTGTGAAGTTTGTTGGAGACATGATAGACACCTGCAAAAGCAGCCAAGGTCTCGAATCTCCAATCTGTGAACATCTGCTGTCCCATCTACACGAAAACCTTGTGAACGATTACATGGAGGGGAATGAAAACAAGTGGTGTGAAAACAACTATTTCATGAAAAATGTCACAGAAGAATTCCAGGAATCACCGTGTACATCAATCAACAATTTAATGTTACAACTTGAGAGCTGTGATTCTGAAGACGATTTATGCAGCGATCTTACCGAAACAATGTCGGATACGGTTGATGATGTAGAAGATATGAATTTGTGCAAGGAGAAAAAGTTCTTATTTTACGTGCTCGAGCGCATTCTTGTTTTCGAAAATCCCTGTGACCTTCACAAATTATTGATTAGCATGAAAACTACTGAAATGGCAAAAAGATCGATGATGGCAAAACCAATTTTTGATAGAATTGATAGTATGGTGAGCAGCGAAGGATTTGTCGAGATGATCGAAGAATGGCTGGACACTTCTGACTTTTGGTCTGTCGATATGTGCCAGGAGACTACGGCAGTGAAGTCCTTAATTTACGATGACATGATAGACGACAAATGCAACGCGTTGAAAAATCTCGGATCATTCAACAAGAGTTGTGAGAAAGAAGCGTTCCAAAATAAAAATAAAATTGCTTGCAAGATCTCAGAAGCTATTTCAATGACAGGGATGCCTGAAAAGTTCGAAGAAGCCACAAATTTGGACATGTTTAGTTTAGATCCTTGTGAAGAGGGCGAAAGAGCATTAGATCACTTGAAAGGTGTTGGTAAGGAACCTTGCACCATTTTGGAAAGCTTCAAAGATTTTAAGAGTTGCTCCGACAGTTCTCTTTATTGTAAGGTAATGAGTAAAGTGCTTGACTGGTTCGAGGGAGATGCTGAGGAGGATCACATTGAGCATGAGGGCATATTGGGTGCTACGTTATCGGATACATATGATATGAGTATTACAGACATCAATCCATGTGAAATGGTGAAGTTTATCGATGAACTTTGGGTTAAGATAGGAGAGAAGCCTTGTGATATGTTTCAAATTATTGAGAAGGAAGGCTCATGTACTTCTAAGGGAGCACCTTGCAAGATGTTCTCAAAATTAGTTGAAGAGTTGACCGACTCAGAGATAGCATCTGAATTTAACGATGTATTCGGGTTCAGACTATGGGATATGAACCCCTGTGAAGAATGGGAACACGCGAAAACATTTTTGTTAGCTCTTATAGATAGACCTTGCTCTTTCCTCAGTTTATTCGAGTCACAACACAAGGCACAGTGTCCAACGGGCACAAAATCTGTTGTTTGTACTGGGTTAGATCTTGCAGCATCCGAAATAAGCAAAGATTCACACATTCAGGATTTCTTGGACTCCATAAATTTGTGTGAAGAACAGGATTATTCCGTCAGAATTTTCAAGGAGGTTTCCAGCCAAGTTTCGAAAGGTAATTGTATTGGCTACAAAGAAGTCTCAAGCTACATTGACGACTGCCCAAAATCAGATCCATATCTTTGTTCCAAATTTGGTGATTTCATTAACTGTTTGGGGAACGGTCCTGATAGAAAATCGAATGTGAAAAAGACGAGGGAAGGTGATGACAAGGATGAAATGGACGATGTGATAAATGGCATTTGTTCAGCAGCCCTTGACATTAGAAAAGGTGCGGCCAACATTGAAACTGAACTCAAAGACGTGTGTACTGACATGTTTCCTGAGGTAAGTACATGAAAATATAATAAGTTAGTGCCATAAATTTGCATGATAATAGTTTCATTAGTTTGGGGAAGTGTTTTAACAATAAAAGTGGCACCCGCACAATGTGCGGCGCACATATCAGGGTTAAGATTGGGGTGAGCCGTCGTAGTAGTTTGCTTTTTAGTTTGCAGCTGTCATCATTTTTTTATTTGTAACTCTAGAAACAGAACCGCAGGGATGCTTTGTGGGTCAGTAGGTCATATATCACTAAATTGTAAGTTTACCCAAATTTAATGGTGACCCAGGCCGGCCCTTTCGATTGGATTCAGCTGACATAATCTATTAAAGCTGTCGTGACAATTATCACTATTCAACATATACATATATCAATATCTATCATGTTCGTTTCATAGATTATTTAACAACGGGGTGTTTAAGACTAAATTATTATCGTGTTCGAAATTTTACTTACTTATGAGTTCAACCAGGTTTCCATGTTAAACTACAACTTTGAGTTTGGCGTTGAAATTATATTTTATAACTCTAACTAATTTGTGAGATTAGCCCTTTTTGTTATGCTTTCAAGATAAGGTGTCATCAAGTTCTTATTTTTTTTCAGGTTTGCTCGGTGATTTCAGAGTTTTTCTCGGAAAAAAATGAAATTACATCTTGTACTTTCAAGAAGATGCTCTTAAGTCTAGGAGATGCTCTTACCTCAGATGTGACCACTAAAAATATTCGCTCAATCATAGACTCACTTCTCGATGAGACATCGTTCTTTGAAGAGTACAACAAAGGAGGGCTAACTAATACAGATTTGGAATGCCACCTTACCAAGTAAATATTATTCATGAAATCGTGTTCCTTAGTTTCAGAAATTCAAGTTAAACTGATTAAGTTTTGACTGGGCTCTAAAGTTGCTAATTATTGCGCAATGAAATAAAATACGTTTTCCCTTTTGTTAGTTAATGACAATTCTTGTTCTAAAAGATAAATTAATTCGGAACGGTCCGTTTAGACAACCTACAAAAATTTCGATCAACATAACACTACACTATCTCAGCGTTTTCGACGTTATCTCCTTTGAGGCACTTTTGGTTCCAACATTTGCAGACATCTTAAGTTCGAGAATTGTCAAAAGGTACTATGAAAACATTGTATACCCTGCAATTGACGCTGTTCTTGGACCTATAAAGGATGATTTACCTTCTATGTTTTCTTCATTCGGAGATGTTTTTGAAACCGTGATGGAAAAAATTGATTCCGCAATTTCCCCGGTTATGGAGATGGCTAAGGATCTGGGTGCAAAACAATTCATGAAAGACGTGAAAGTAATGGTTGCCGGGATACTCAAATACTACTTTGTGGAGAACGAGGATACATCAAAAATGATGACAGATGTTGCTTATCTTTTCCAAATTGACCCTACAAATATTTATAAGCTTCCTGAAGTATCCCTAAAAAAGTACATTAACCTTGTATTTGAAAATGTTCCGGATCAAAGTGAAATGATTGATTTCTACATGGACCTGTCTTATGACGACTGGGCAAGCCACACACTCGTAACTGCTGGACTGAGAAATTGGGCGTTTCAATTCAGCAAGTACATGACAGTCATTGAAAATAGAGCTGTGGAACGTGGTTTTGTTTGCCCTGATGAGGCGGCGGCAAGTGTTAAAAAAGGAGATATGCTAATAAACCTTTTCGGCGGCGATAATAATGACTATGATAGTGACTATGATAGTGACTACGATAAAGACTATGATGAAGGAGATCACCAGTATGATGACAACGATTATAATGATGAACATAACAGTGACTATGATAGTGACTATGATAGTGACTACGATAAAGACGATGATAAAGGAGATCACCAGTATGATGACAACGATTATAGTGGTGATGGTGAACATAACAGGAAACGAAAAAGTAATGAAACGTTTATTTTATCATGGGGCGTCTAAACCGTCTAATTTTTAAAAGTCCAATTTCAAATTTAATAAAGTAATAAAGTGAAACTGTCCGAATTGGGCGTGTATTTCCTTTTGCAACCTCTCTATAATATATAGGTGTAACAATAGGACCAGGTAACTAGGCCTAATATCTAATATACATATTTTACAGTGCTCAAACGACCTAAACGAGCTGCTAGTGCTAGTAGCACTACTAGTGCTAGTAGCACTGCTAGTGCTAGTAGCACTACTAGTGCTAGTAGCACTGCTAGTGCTACTAGCACTGCTACTCCTGCCCCAGAAACTTCGCCAACTCCATCTAATGAGTTTATGTTCGTAAATCGGACGGTGGAAAATGCAATGGAGTGGTTTTATCTCACCCCGGTTCCCATCGATTACGATATTTGGGGAGGCTCCGAAAAAGTCAACGTAACAAAATACGAAGACGAATTCAAGTACGGCGAAAAGGAATCCGTCAAGGAGATGATGAAATACATGCCACAATTTGACAGTGATGAAATTCCGATCTTGCAACTGGAATATGGAAAATATTGTGAGTAAGAATTGATGTCAGTTGCTGTAGTTTGGCGGCGAATAATTAATATTGACTACAGTACTAGTAAAACTATCTACAAGATATGTTTTACGTTTGCCTGACCTTTATAATTACAATGTTGAGATAATAACGCAGTGATAACGATATTAGAGACCCATTTAAGTTATATCTTATTTAAATATTGAATAGAAATACAACTTAACTAAGAAGAATCCTAACTCAGACGGAAATGTACTTTACTGGCTCCAGAAAGATCTACTAGAAACAATGAAGATGGTCTATCCGGAATGTAATATAGTGAAAAAGATACTGAATCGTGTTGAGGATTGCAAAGAGGTCCAAGGATCAATCATCTGCTATCCCCTCCTTATGCTGGATCAGCACATTTTGAACATAGTCCGACAACACTGTGGTCCGGTATGATTTGATGTTTTGTATTGAAAATTTAGCCAAAAAATATTTCAAGAACACGATCTTCGTCCCTGTGAAGGGGAATCATTGTTTATTTTAATCCTTGTAGCGATCACAATTTTGAAGTGAATGATTATCATCAAAACATCTGAGTCCTAATCGATGACAATAATCAATTATCGCCCGTAACCGTTGTGATAATGTTTAGCGAGATATGATTTTACTTCTATAATAGGCAACAGAAAGACACCCCATCGTAATTTCCCTAGTATCGACTGACAGACGATGATGATAGATAATTAAAAATTCCCCAACCCCAGTTGCCTCTTCACTAATTCTAAGTCTTCACCTGTTACCAGATATGTATGGAAGCTATACTAACGATTGCTAATCCTTGCGAAATACCTTTGGATGTCACAAGTGAACAGTTCGATCGGAAAAACCAGGTGGTATTGAAAGTGCACGGTAACGTTTATCACTTCACGGAACTTTCGTGGGATAAGGTCTTGAGAACAGGAAAAGGTTACGTTATGAGAGTCATGGGATGTCCCCTCAACTGGTAATCTTATAATTATCACCACCAATTCATTTAGTACAGTGTTCTTGTATTTAAACTTAAACACATTTAATTGGCTACTTTTGTTAGTTCAGCTACCATCTTTCTATCATTGGAAATGTTTCCATCGCTCAGGTTGGACTCATATCTCAAGAATGACATGGCCTCCCTGATGCAGATGCTTGAGAAAGTAGCCCCTGCAGCTGGTTTCCCTGAGGTTTACTCTTTGATGAAAACACACCATCTTGACAAAAAGATTACAGATGTGGCAATGATGGGACTTGACCTTCTCAAACGATCTGGGATCACATGTAATAGTGGCGAGGACAACAAAAGGGTTCGGTATACCATGGGTAAATCTTATCATACATTTTGCACGAGTTGAACTTTGTATTTTCTGTACTAATGCTATTCTTAAGTGTGACATAACTTTTGATTCCTAGACTGAGAGCTGTACTTACTACATACCACGATCTTATATAAAATTCTTTAAATAGTTTGAATTTTAATATCAGTGACCAACATTATCCTGATTCAGAACAATGCGACGAAGGAGAATATATGTCAGATACAGGTTGTAAATCTTGTCCTGGCATTAAATATAGTAACAAAGGAGCTTACGGCGTGGACCAGTGTGACCGAACTGACCCTAAATCTACATCATGTCGACCAGTATCAGTACGCCCAGGTTTCGGGACTCTAGACTGTACTTCTGAAACACCTATTTCTTGCACCTACACGTGCCCAGATGACACTTTCTTCTTCATGAAAAACAAAGTGCAATCCAAGTTCGATTTTGACTGTGACGAATCAACTAAGAAATGGTCGCATCAGGACGATAAGAATTCGTTTGGTAGCGTACCAAATTGTGCCGAGATCAAATCGCCCTCTCCGAAACTTAAAGTTGCTATTCAATTTGACGCTTCTGAATGTCCTTCTGAAACTCAATTATCAACTTCCATTAAAGAGTATTTCAAAACATCATCAGAAGAATCATATGACTGTTTCAAATCCGGTGATGACAGCCAATGTTCTGTCAAACAAGTTAGTAACATAATATTTGCTATATATCCGATTTTGAATAAAGTCACGAATGTACTTACACATTACTATTAGGTTTATATTCGTAGCTCAGAACGTTTTTATAAACATTTGCATTGGTTAATAAATAATATCTTTGAAAATTAAGTGATATATACAGTTATGCATTTTTAAATTGTGCAGGTGGCTTGTGAAGCGTTGGATTCGAGTATTGAGATAAATTTAACTGTGGATCAAAAAGCAAGCCAAGACTCCAGTGAGTAAACATTTTTTCGAATTTAATACTACTGCAAACTTAAGTCCATTTCAGATTTTACAAATAATTTTAGTTTTACCAAAACTAAAAGCTGTCGTCTTGACAATTCATCTGGGATCAAAAATATGAAACATGATCTACAAGTACAAGTGGGATATTATTTAAATTATACGCGTTTCAAATTAAATAAATATAATTAATAATTTCAGCGAAGTTGGAGAACGTGAAGAGTAAGCTCGTTGACGAAGCAACTGAAAAAACCCTGATTTTGACCATACAAGAGAGTCGCCGAAGGAGGAAGAGAGAAGATCAGACTCTCAGCTCCAATGGAGACGTTGAGGCAGAGGATGTAACAACCGAGTGTGATTCCGGATATCAGACAATCGACGACGATTGCCGTAAGTTTGCACAAACCGTATGTTTTCTCAATCCGTCACATTTTATCTCAAGTAAGATAGTTCAAACCCAAATGGGTAAAATAATGTTAGTAGGCCGTACTATTTCTGTTTGATTCCCTGGCCCTTACTGGGCGGCGCTCAGCCTATCATCCCGCCTGCACATCTTCAATCTTCATGAACACTATGACTAAGCTTGGGGTAACCGGTTCATACTGTTCCATTCATCACGGGGTATGAATGATAAAAGTTCGCGACCATTCCTTTCATAACCCTAATATATCCCTAATCTAACTACTGGTACCAATCCTAACTCTACGTGGTGAGAAATGGGGCCGGATATAAATTATAAATACTATGTAGTTATGGAAATGATCTGCTAGTTATTTTGTATTTTGATCATTTCACTGTATGAATGGGACAAAAATGGCATCTGTGGTAGTGGTACACGTTCAGATTAATAATTATGCTTCGTATAATATTAATAACTATAAGTATAAGTAGATGATGTAGAGTAAATTATGAATTTGAATTGCTAAGTCCATCCAACAAATTTAAATCACGAGACCATTATGATTATTCACAACAGTTGCATGCGCGGCGGGAACGTACTACGAATCCGATGGTACGTGTACTGACTGTCCAGATTTCACCTACAACGATCTGGACGCTGCGACTGAGTGCTCTGCGTGTCCTGAAGGATACTATACGTATGGGGGTGGACACGACTCACTAGCTGACTGCATTGGTTAGTTTGAACTGAAATGAGTTTCGGTAATCGTACTGTAGTGCGACACGTACTCTAGTGCGACAAGTGCTCTAGTGCGAAGTCCGACAAAAACACCCTCTTTCGCACTACTACAGTTACACGTGTCGCACTACGATCCAGGTAGCGTACTCTAGAGCGACACAACATCCTGTCTTGTTTGCAAGTTCAGGTCAGATCCTCATTCCTCTTTCGCGCTAGAGTGCCCTTTTTGTGGACACGATTGATAAATTGAAAGTCTACTGATGACATAGCAATAGCATGGGTATATTATCGATAAAAATGTATGTGAAATCAGGAATTTACCACTTTTCAGAATTTTAACAGAACAACAACTTTACAGGACCATGTGCGGAGGGATCTTACAGAGACGAGGTGACAATGAGTTGTGTGGTTTGCCCTGAGGGTGAATCTTCCCCTTACAACTCATCCTCCATCGACAGTTGTGGTGCGTACTACGTAATATATAAATTAGTTTCTGCCTTAAATGCAATAAAACTAGTCCCTCATTGGAACCAACAGTTCTAAGAGACAATATACTTACTATTACTAAGTTAGTGTAACCCGGCCTTCGGCCGGGATTTCACTGCCGCAGTTGAAAAGAGAAAAAGGGTAGGAGTATTTACCCGCAGAGTCAGTAATACATAATTACATAATCAGTTCTCTAAGTCATTATTAGGCATCACATTCCATGACCATAAGGTCCGTACACCCTGTAGTTGTACCACGACTGTTACACCTCATCACAATTAACCCTTATTAACTCCACACCACTGACCACACCCGCCTATTATATTTGAAAACATGCATTACATTGTCGTATGAAAGTAAACAAACAGACCGCAATTTGTGGTACAAAACCATCAATTAAAACACTTACCACCGCGCCGACCAATTTGAAGAACTTTATTCATTTGGCTTCGTCAGAGGTTTTTCGGAACTATACCGAAAAAACCAGTCCCGTAACTCTCACCATTTTCATGATTAAGCCGCTCGGAAATTACACGCGCACAGACAGCTGAAATTATTTGTTTCAGAGGGTTGTCCGGTGGGAGAGTATTTCTACAACGAGACATCCCAATGTGAAAAGTGTCCTCTCGCTACCTACAACAGCCAAGCTGGAGCAACTTCTTGCACGTCCTGTAAAACTGGCTGGTTCACTGTCGGTGATAACAAAACTTCCGATGATGATTGTTTGGGTAAGCAAGTCGTCCTTTTCATAGCTCCAAAAATGTTACAAGTAGATGTTTTAACATTACGTACCTTAAAAAGTGATGATTGAACTAACCCAAATTAATTTTGATTCCCAACAGAGCCCTGCCTTCCGGGAGAGTTCATGGATATGGAAGCTGAAGAATGTACGACCTGTCCGGAGGGGTCCACTAGCTTACCTAATGCTACCTCCTCCTACGACTGCGGTAAGGAACAAGCTGATATTCATATACAAATCTTGATTCGAACCCCTTAAATAAAAGTATGGTAATGTTTGATTGATTTGGGATTAGGGACTGGCCCGTATAGTAACAGTCGATTATTTTTAGAATGTATCAGCTGTGCCAATTCACAATCGCAGCTCGGTAATCAGTAAATACATATATATATATTATATACTGATATAATATATGTATAATATAAATGACATCTTCTATTGCAGATTTGACGCTAGAGCAATTTGTAGAGCTAATCGAGGACAATGCAGATGCATTCGAAGAATTGGCAGACGATGGTGGTATTGATATGGATGCTTTAAATGAAGCCATTGAAGACATTGAAGATGAATTGGAGGAGTCTGAAGTTGATGACCCTTTTATTGAAGATGAATTGGAGGAGTCTGAAGTTGATAATGATGAGGAACCTGATGCTGGAAACACTATTCTGGCATATGGAGTACCATTCTGGCTCGGACTGATAATGATGGTCTTGAAGTTGAATTTGGTGTTTTTGTAAAACACCGATGTAAATACTTAATACAAAAGGGCTAAATGAGGAGATCATGATTATCATTTTACTTTCTTATTTATTATGGATATATCATCTGCATCATTTTATCTGTTTAAATATTCATTTAGTGATGTATTTTTCTAATCAATGAAGATGTATTTGGTATAGGTATCGCTAGCTGCAACAAAAGTGCTTTTTTTGTTCCAATTTTCTTTGTTCTGAACATTTATAACATAACATAAGTATAAGAAAATTGTTGCGCATTTATTGGTGCATCCTTTTCACTTTCTATCAAGATGGTTATCAAATGTCATTGCACTCACTTATCCCGACCTATCATAATTAAGTAATAGGTTAATATGCTGGCGTCTGCATTTGTTTTGATGCTGCTCAGCCAATCTCATGAAAGCATAAAAACTAATGTTCCACAGTCGCGTACCACTCACAGTGCCCAGGTCAATATCATTACATATTTCGCATATTAATATACGACATATTTCGAAGGATTAGGAAAACCACGACATAACAAAATTATTGTTAAATTTTGTTACAAATTAATTTAATTTCAGAAATAGTTGATTACAGAATTCCTTTTAAAAATAATTTTTCGAAAAAATTTCTTGAAAAAATTTTGCGAATATTTTGATATTTTCATGACATCCGAAATCTTGACATCATAAATCAAGAGGCTTGCATATAATGAACATATTGACACGGGTGCAGAGTTGAGTCTGTACGGAACCTAGTAGTTTCAGATCCTTGTTTAACTTGCCGTACAGCAAGGTCATCCACTACTTTAGCCCGGCGAGGCACATAACTCCCTCTACAACTCCATGACAAATGTTTCATATATACTAGCCGAGTTCACAAGAATATATCCTTGTGTTTGAGAAGAGCTCGTTAGAACTGCTTCCTTTCCCTTCAGTATCCCACAGTCTCTCGAGTTTCGTAACTGCCAGAGAACTCTCTTAAACAATTATTAGACTCGGTGATTATAAATCAAGAGGCTTGCATATAATGAACATATTGACACGGGTGCAGAGTTGAGTCTGTACGGAACCTAGTAGTTTCAGATCCTTGTTTAACTTGCCGTACAGCAAGGTCATCCACTACTTTAGCCCGGCGAGGCACATAACTCCCTCTACAACTCCATGACAAATGTTTCATATATACTAGCCGAGTTCACAAGAATATATCCTTGTGTTTGAGAAGAGCTCGTTAGAACTGCTTCCTTTCCCTTCAGTATCCCACAGTCTCTCGAGTTTCGTAACTGCCAGAGAACTCTCTTAAACAATTACTAGACTCGGTGATTATAAATCAAGAGGCTTGCATATAATGAACATATTGACACGGGTGCAGAGTTGAGTCTGTACGGAACCTAGTAGTTTCAGATCCTTGTTTAACTTGCCGTACAGCAAGGTCATCCACTACTTTAGCCCGGCGAGGCACATAACTCCCTCTACAACTCCATGACAAATGTTTCATATATACTAGCCGAGTTCACAAGAATATATCCTTGTGTTTGAGAAGAGCTCGTTAGAACTGCTTCCTTTCCCTTCAGTATCCCACAGTCTCTCGAGTTTCGTAACTGCCAGAGAACTCTCTTAAACAATTATTAGACTCGGTGATTATAAATCAAGAGGCTTGCATATAATGAACATATTGACACGGGTGCAGAGTTGAGTCTGTACGGAACCTAGTAGTTTCAGATCCTTGTTTAACTTGCCGTACAGCAAGGTCATCCACTACTTTAGCCCGGCGAGGCACATAACTCCCTCTACAACTCCATGACAAATGTTTCATATATACTAGCCGAGTTCACAAGAATATATCCTTGTGTTTGAGAAGAGCTCGTTAGAACTGCTTCCTTTCCCTTCAGTATCCCACAGTCTCTCGAGTTTCGTAACTGCCAGAGAACTCTCTTAAACAATTACTAGACTCGGTGATTATAAATCAAGAGGCTTGCATATAATGAACATATTGACACGGGTGCAGAGTTGAGTCTGTACGGAACCTAGTAGTTTCAGATCCTTGTTTAACTTGCCGTACAGCAAGGTCATCCACTACTTTAGCCCGGCGAGGCACATAACTCCCTCTACAACTCCATGACAAATGTTTCATATATACTAGCCGAGTTCACAAGAATATATCCTTGTGTTTGAGAAGAGCTCGTTAGAACTGCTTCCTTTCCCTTCAGTATCCCACAGTCTCTCGAGTTTCGTAACTGCCAGAGAACTCTCTTAAACAATTATTAGACTCGGTGATTATAAATCAAGAGGCTTGCATATAATGAACATATTGACACGGGTGCAGAGTTGAGTCTGTACGGAACCTATTAGTTTTAGATCCTTGTTTAACTTGCCGTACAGCAAGGTCATCCACTACTTTAGCCCGGCGAGGCACATAACTCCCTCTACAACTCCATGACAAATGTTTCATATATACTAGCCGAGTTCACAAGAATATATCCTTGTGTTTGAGAAGAGCTCGTTAGAACTGCTTCCTTTCCCTTCAGTATCCCACAGTCTCTCGAGTTTCGTAACTGCCAGAGAACTCTCTTAAACAATTACTAGACTCGGTGATTATAAATCAAGAGGCTTGCATATAATGAACATATTGACACGGGTGCAGAGTTGAGTCTGTACGGAACCTAGTAGTTTCAGATCCTTGTTTAACTTGCCGTACAGCAAGGTCATCCACTACTTTAGCCCGGCGAGGCACATAACTCCCTCTACAACTCCATGACAAATGTTTCATATATACTAGCCGAGTTCACAAGAATATATCCTTGTGTTTGAGAAGAGCTCGTTAGAACTGCTTCCTTTCCCTTCAGTATCCCACAGTCTCTCGAGTTTCGTAACTGCCAGAGAACTCTCTTAAACAATTATTAGACTCGGTGATTATAAATCAAGAGGCTTGCATATAATGAACATATTGACACGGGTGCAGAGTTGAGTCTGTACGGAACCTAGTAGTTTCAGATCCTTGTTTAACTTGCCGTACAGCAAGGTCATCCACTACTTTAGCCCGGCGAGGCACATAACTCCCTCTACAACTCCATGACAAATGTTTCATATATACTAGCCGAGTTCACAAGAATATATCCTTGTGTTTGAGAAGAGCTCGTTAGAACTGCTTCCTTTCCCTTCAGTATCCCACAGTCTCTCGAGTTTCGTAACTGCCAGAGAACTCTCTTAAACAATTACTAGACTCGGTGATTATAAATCAAGAGGCTTGCATATAATGAACATATTGACACGGGTGCAGAGTTGAGTCTGTACGGAACCTAGTAGTTTCAGATCCTTGTTTAACTTGCCGTACAGCAAGGTCATCCACTACTTTAGCCCGGCGAGGCACATAACTCCCTCTACAACTCCATGACAAATGTTTCATATATACTAGCCGAGTTCACAAGAATATATCCTTGTGTTTGAGAAGAGCTCGTTAGAACTGCTTCCTTTCCCTTCAGTATCCCACAGTCTCTCGAGTTTCGTAACTGCCAGAGAACTCTCTTAAACAATTACTAGACTCGGTGATTATAAATCAAGAGGCTTGCATATAATGAACATATTGACACGGGTGCAGAGTTGAGTCTGTACGGAACCTATTAGTTTTAGATCCTTGTTTAACTTGCCGTACAGCAAGGTCATCCACTACTTTAGCCCGGCGAGGCACATAACTCCCTCTACAACTCCATGACAAATGTTTCATATATACTAGCCGAGTTCACAAGAATATATCCTTGTGTTTGAGAAGAGCTCGTTAGAACAGCTTCCTTTCCCTTCAGTATCCTTCAGTATCCCACAGTCTCTCGAGTTTCGTAACTGCCAGAGAACTCTCTTAAACAATTACTAGACTCGGTGATTATAAATCAAGAGGCTTGCATATAATGAACATATTGACACGGGTGCAGAGTTGAGTCTGTACGGAACCTAGTAGTTTCAGATCCTTGTTTAACTTGCCGTACAGCAAGGTCATCCACTACTTTAGCCCGGCGAGGCACATAACTCCCTCTACAACTCCATGACAAATGTTTCATATATACTAGCCGAGTTCACAAGAATATATCCTTGTGTTTGAGAAGAGCTCGTTAGAACTGCTTCCTTTCCCTTCAGTATCCCACAGTCTCTCGAGTTTCGTAACTGCCAGAGAACTCTCTTAAACAATTACTAGACTCGGTGATTATAAATCAAGAGGCTTGCATATAATGAACATATTGACACGGGTGCAGAGTTGAGTCTGTACGGAACCTAGTAGTTTCAGATCCTTGTTTAACTTGCCGTACAGCAAGGTCATCCACTACTTTAGCCCGGCGAGGCACATAACTCCCTCTACAACTCCATGACAAATGTTTCATATATACTAGCCGAGTTCACAAGAATATATCCTTGTGTTTGAGAAGAGCTCGTTAGAACTGCTTCCTTTCCCTTCAGTATCCCACAGTCTCTCGAGTTTCGTAACTGCCAGAGAACTCTCTTAAACAATTACTAGACTCGGTGATTATAAATCAAGAGGCTTGCATATAATGAACATATTGACACGGGTGCAGAGTTGAGTCTGTACGGAACCTAGTAGTTTCAGATCCTTGTTTAACTTGCCGTACAGCAAGGTCATCCACTACTTTAGCCCGGCGAGGCACATAACTCCCTCTACAACTCCATGACAAATGTTTCATATATACTAGCCGAGTTCACAAGAATATATCCTTGTGTTTGAGAAGAGCTCGTTAGAACTGCTTCCTTTCCCTTCAGTATCCCACAGTCTCTCGAGTTTCGTAACTGCCAGAGAACTCTCTTAAACAATTACTAGACTCGGTGATTATAAATCAAGAGGCTTGCATATAATGAACATATTGACACGGGTGCAGAGTTGAGTCTGTACGGAACCTAGTAGTTTCAGATCCTTGTTTAACTTGCCGTACAGCAAGGTCATCCACTACTTTAGCCCGGCGAGGCACATAACTCCCTCTACAACTCCATGACAAATGTTTCATATATACTAGCCGAGTTCACAAGAATATATCCTTGTGTTTGA